TTAACATTATATGAGTCGCTTATTCCACCTGCGTGTGGGGTGGTGGGGAAGCCTAATGGTTAAAGCTCAGTCAGTCAGTCAGTCCACCTGCGTGTACAAGTTTCCAGAACAGACACGTGTAGCCAATGTGCTCTCTAATCCACAGGGGCTTTTGAGGTTAGGTGAAATTGGGTCGTGCTTGAGAATATTTCGCTCATATGCGTGTGTATGTGTATGTGCGGCTGCTTGTACTAGCCCAGACTGAAGCTGGTTTTATAGTGCTAGCCCACTGAGACAACATGTCGCAGTGAAGCATGATGGATACCCCACTCAGACACATTACACTGACTCCGAGCCGACCAGTCCTTGTTGTACCCATTAATGCCGAGCGCCAGGCAGGGACCAACAAGTACCATATTTTAACGTCTTTTGGTATGACGCGGTCGGGGATCGAACCTGCGACCTTCCGCTCTCCGGGCGGACGATCTAAGCACTACACCACGGAGGCGGTCCCACAGGGGCTTGTAACGCTTAAACTGGCATCGAGGTATATACTGTCACTGACGAGGTCTTAACACAATATGAAAGGATAGTGCTGAGACGCCGCCGATCAGTGACAGTATATACCTCGATGCCAGTTTGCCGCCTGAAGCCCTGTGCTCCTAATCCACCACGGGGAATTCCAGTATAAAACTGTTTCCACCTATCTTGGTTCGTTGCTCATGATATCAGTCACCGGATTGTCTGGTCCAGACTCGATTATTTGCAGGCTGCCGTCCTATGACAACTCTCGTTGGTTCTAAAATCCAATGGTTATCAGAAGACGAGAGTAATAAACTGGCCTGCTGTGTGTGGTATGTAGACGGATAGACCACATTTGGTGGTTTAGATTTTACTTAATAATCAATATTTGTACATTACCCTCGAAAATCGTTTTGAGACCAAGGTTTCTTCACTTGACTCTATTTTTTAAAAATAGATCAGTGTAACTGATACACAATGGTAATATCCAAACCGTTGTAATCACAATATTGCTGTTGGATTTCAAGAACGATACGTGGCGGTGTTTCCAATGATTTTACAAGTCCTTCACTCGCCATCTTGGAAATGTTGATCACCATTGCTAATTGCAGCGCGTGGCAAGACGTCCAGATATAATTGGGGCATCAAACTGGTGGTTTGTAGTCGCGAAACTTCGAAGTTATTTTTTGTGAAATAAATCAAATAGATTTTACAATGGTTGTACCAACTAGGTTATGATAGAATGAGTTATGGTGAATCTTTAAATGTTTTATTTCAAAGGATTTTGAACATCGTCACCTTTATGCATGGTGTGGTTCACATACCGGTCGTATCATAGGCATTTTAAAAGGGAGAATTTCTTCGTGATTTTGACAGCCATGATTCAGATTGCACCTGACACCTTGCAGTGTCAGTGTCTCCAGAGTTGCCTCCCTTGGGCTTGTCAAAATTCTATGGACGCTTGAATGCACGCACTAACGGGATTGGGTGGTCAGTCTCCACCATTCTCTTGGTACATCTTGTCGTTATTCATGATGTCAAGCACAGGTCTGCAAGGTCCAGACTCGCTATTTTACCAACCGTCATTATTCCGGGAATACTATTACGTGCGGCGTCAACAACAGACAAGCAAACGAATAAACAAACAAACAAACAATAAGTCAAGGCACGACCACCCTGGATCCACTTGCACAAAGACATTCAGAACTGTAGCTCTAAGAAACTGAGCCCTACAATAACTTAATCATGTCACCATGTAAAACCCCACTAGTACACTCACCTAATCACGTTTAACTGAGGCGTATCATACCATGGGGGCGGTGGGGTAGCCAAGTGGTTAAAGCGTTGGCTCGACACGCCGAAGACCCGGGTTCGATTCCCCACATGGGTACTATGTGTGAAGCCCATTTCTGGTGTCCCCCGCCGTGATGTTGCTGGAATATTGCTAAAAGCGGCGTAAAACCAAACCTCAGTCAGTCAGTCAGTGAGTCAGTATCATACCATTATTTTTTTGTTTTCTTGTTTTACGCCGCACTCAGCAATACTAACAGCTATATGGCGGCGGTCTGTAAGTAATCGAGTCTGGATCAGACAATCCAGTGATCAACAGCACGAGCTTCGATCTTCGCAATTAGGAAACGATGACATTTGTGTCAACCTAGTCAGCGAGCCAGACCACCCAATCCCGTTAGTCGCCTCTTACGACAAGCATGGATTGCTGAAGATCAATTCTAACCCGGATCTTCACGGGTGGGATCATACCATGAAGACAAAGGGAATAATTACATATACTGGAAGAGGTATACAGTCTTCACTAGTCTCTAATATTTACACCATGTCCATTATGTACCAAGTAACTTAAGCTGGCAGCAGAATGCATCATACATATAATTATAGTGGTAGATTTTGACTTGAGTGAGTGAGATTAGTTTTACGCCGCTTTTAGCAACATTCCAGCAATAGCACAGTGGAGTACACCAGAAATGGGCTTCACATTCATTGTACCCATTTGGGAAGATTTTGACCTGAACAAAACTTACAATATAGATCACTTTACCATAATACATACAATGTAGATCCATATATTAATAGTAATTGGTGTATTCAAACAAAGGCCACAGGCCCATTATACAGTTACATGAGTCATATCTATACATGAAAGTGGAAAATCTGGAGCGCCATAGCACTGTACAAGATACATAATTCAATAAACATACACTTAATGGGTTGTACAATGTTTTGTTAAGGTAATTGTTACGTTGTTTGAATGCAAGGAACAAAACTTCGCTTCAAACGATTTAAAATACCTGAATCGTGTGATTATTGCAAAGTAATACCAGTTTATCATAAGAAGGATGACCTGTAATTGCAATCAGAACTCAGTGCAAAATTGCATGTCATTGAGGATTATAGTGAAAAGGACTTGACTCCACAAAAGGTTCTTAAGAACTGCTATTACGGGTAATTCTGACACAGTTCACATTTTGTTACGAGGGAGGGAGGAGCAGAGAAATGGACACAGGAAGTGCGAGAAAGGATGGACTGAGTCTGAGATTCGTTTTACGCCGCTTTTAGTAAATATTCCAACCATAATATCACGACATGGGGGACACCAGAAATGGAGCTTAACATACATTGCCCATGTGGCGAAGGGTAATCGAAGGATCCTCGGCGTGACGAGCCAACGCTTTTAACCATCACTAGGTGTCATCACCGCCTCCTTCTTTGGAAGAAAGGATGGAGACGGCACAGTGCAGAAGAATGAAATCAATAACTTGGTGTGCACTTGTGCTCCTGTACATCAGTCCGTTTCTGTGGCATCCTGTGGGTATCTGCGTTGTTGCGTGTTATATGCGTGTTATTTGTGTATGCGTGTGAATCGTGTATCAATGTGTTGAGCTGTGGCGTTACACAATTCCCTCAAAGTAATAAAATTACATTGCCAACACTCACTCGCATGTGTTTTTGTAATTTCTGAAGCATACGTCACGAGCAGCAGGGTAAGAAACCTTGCCAAATTTCTCACTAGACCACAGTACCAGTGAGTGGACAATAATAATTAGTAGTCCTGTCTGTACTCCACTGGTTCAAAATAATATTCGTAGATTTACTTAACTATCAAATTCACTGGCCACCAGGACCACTGCAAACTTATCATTTAGTGGTCCTGATGAATTTTTACTAGCCAGGGACCACAGGACCAGCGTAAATTTCGCATACTGCCATCATCATTTCTTCATCAATCAATTCGTCATCAATATCAGTCACCACTTTTTAACCATGTATAGAGAGTTCATCCATACAACACCATTACATTAACAATAAATTTAAAATGGAAATTTGAATTCAATATCCTATATTCTATCTTATTGTATATTCTACTGAATAAAGTTCAATGCATTATTTCATGCCATTACCTAATGCTTCAAGGTAGTAACAGTGGTTAACCCTATAATGGAGGGCCTGAACACATGTAATATATATCGTAGAATCATTTCTATCTCCTATTGTGATATAACTGCATTATTTGAGCGTTGTGCCATCAGTTTAATGCAAAAGATAACATCATGATTTGTTGTGTTTTCCTTAAATCACTACTCAAATTGAACTGAGATTAAGAAACATTAATAACAGACTGATTTGGGGCTGAAGTAATTTTTTAAATTGTGACGATCAAAATGTCAAATACGATTAACTAAAACACCCCAAAACAAACATAGGCAATAGCAACACTGGATAGTAACACTTCAAAACGATTTTTCAAAGGGTATGCTAGGCTAACAACTAGTGCCGGAAAACAAATTGAATTATATTTTTTTAGAAACTGTGGCGTTGGGGGTGGGCTAGTGGTTAAAGCGCTCGCTCCTCACGCTGAAGTCCCGGGTTCGATTCCCCACATTGACACAGTGTGCCAATTTCTGGTGTGCCCCGTCGTGATATTGCCATACTCAGTCAGTCAGTTTGTAAAAACTACATAGTTATAAATTTTAAAAATCACACACACATTTTAATCATAAGATATGTCCGACGTCACAGGACCCGTGAAGGTCCGGGTTAGAATGAACCTTCAGTAACCCATGCTTGTAAGAGGCGACTAACGGATCAAGTGGTCAGGCTTGCTGGCTTGGTCCCCAAGTCAGATGTTGTTGCAATTGCGCAGGTCGATGTTCATGCTGTTGATCACTGATTTTCTCAGTTGAGAGTCGATTATTTTCATGACCGCCGCAATATAAGCTGGAATATTGCTGAGTGCGGCGTAAAAAACTCACTCACACACTCGACGTCACAGGTCTGCAACTTAGTTTCACTTATTTCGCTTTCATTTTTGATCTATAAAATTTTATGTGTTTATTTTGTATAACCAATGAGACAAAATCACCACAATAGCAGCAGAAAGATACATAATTTTGTCGGGCAATTTATCCCTCGTTCAGTCATTTGAAATCAATCAATCAATTCTTATCCAGCGAACCCTACACTGCTCTTCCTCTTGAAGGTAAAATTATTCAAAGCTCCTCGCATAGATAGGGGACTCGCTTACCAACAATTTCTCCTGAAACGCCATGCCGAGAGCTTAAGAAAGCGTCTGTGTGTCGTTTACCCGCCATTGTTAATGTTTATACGGACTGTGTAATCCATTCAATCATGAAGCTAGTAAGGTATGTTATCACCCGAATATTCTCAATATCGATACAGGAATAGTCAATCATATTATTATTTGCATCATTTCTTGTGTTGGAAACGATATATTGCGGACATTTATGGATAGACCGAAGCCGGCTTCCATGTCAACATTGTTTTACTCGCTTTTCAAACTGATATTCGGATACTGGTTCGAATTGGTGACAAAAAAGTTGAACCTGTGAATGTGTGTATTATATTCTGCTATTAGATGGTTTCTGGTTGTAGTTCCTTATTTCACTGATGTGAACGAGACGATCGTTATTTATGTTAAGAACAAAATTCATCCAGCACCGACAAAGATATATATCTAAGGCAACCGATTGAGGCCTTGGTTGAATTTGCAGCGATTACTGCAGCCAGGAGCACAACGACGTGTACATCTTTACTACATGACAATTTTATTTTACAGATTACGATATTACATTAAACAACATTCAGCTTTGACATTCAGTTTGACGTAGATGTGTGTGAATCAGTGTAACTATTTGAATCTTGACTATTGTATATAAGGGATCGATGATTTCTTTTTCAGATTCTTGATGAAGCTGAGTCACGAGACGGTGACAGTCGAGCTGAAGAATGGTACACAAGTGCATGGAACAATCACAGGTGAATTGTGCTTCTATGTTCACATTTATTTGTGGCTTGTGAGTTATTTTAGTCATACTTTTGCAGAAACCCTTTGAAGTCCTGATCCCTTTACGGAGATCCTTACACTGTCCGAAGGTATGCCACCCTTTGATATACCTTAGGGTTGTGGATGTATGCTCCCCTTTAGTGTAGGTGCCTCGACAGGCTAGGCAAAGAAAACGATCCTATAGGGTTAGGTTATACCCCACTCTTGTTTGAGAAGGTATTTTGGAAAAACATTGTTTCTGGATCCAAATAAGACATTCATTTGTACCCATACCATATGAAAAGACCCTCAAACATGTTCACATGTGCACATACAAAACATGCCATGGAAATGCATGAACTGTGAAAAGTCAAACAAATTTGATGGGCCTGTACTTATAGATAACCACTTCTAATTCTTTTGGTATCTGCCCACTAGGCAAGATGTCGCGAGTGCTGTCTTTTATAGATTCTTATATCGGTGAAATAACTTTAAAATTGCTAGTGTACTCTGGTACAGTGGCACATGTGTAAAATCACTTGCCCTGATAATTTTCCACTATACGGACATTTTTCTTGTTGATTCTTTTAAATAAACAACATCAAGAATATCAAGACACGGTACAATGTTTAACCAAATTTAATGTCTCAGAAAAAACAGTGGAATGGGTAATTTCCACCTGTGTGACATCATATCATAATAAATGAAGGGCAGCATAAAAGTATCTTGACTTACTTTTGGTGAATTTGTTCATTATTTTGTATCTCTTAACATGTCATAGATAATTTATGCATGGTGCATTTGTTTGCAAAAAGTGAATAAATGAAAAATACGGAGGTGAATAGGAAGTGTTTATCTCAAATTTGGACGTGTATAAAAATAATATGGTGTCTTGATTTGCAGGTGTTGATGTTAGCATGAACACACATTTAAAGGCTGTCAAAATGACAGTGAAGAACAAGGACCCAGTACAGATCGACTCTCTCAGTATCCATTGGCAACAACATCCGTTACTTCATCCTCCCTGACAGTTTGCCTCTTGACACACTCCTTATAGATGACACACCCAAGGCCAGAATCAACAAGAAGAGAGGCAGCAAAGGTAGGCATAGCATCCCAGTCATGCTAATGCAACTACAAATGATAATAATATAATGATCCATGAAGATTTGAATTAGAATTTGTCTTCAGCAACCTGTGCTTATCGTATGGGGTGACTAATGGTAATGGGATTAGGTGGTCAGACTCACTTTGACTTGGTTGACACATCGCCATATTCCAAGTTGTATAGATTGATGCTCATGATGTTGATCACTGGCTTTGTTTGATCATCAGACTCGATTATTTACAGACCACCACCATGTAGCTTGAATATTGCTTAGTGTGGTGTTAAACAAACAAACAAAATTATAATAATGTGCTTATTCACTGTGCCAAATGCACACAAATAAAGTGCTTCATTTTATCCTGGTCAGTGGATCCCGTGCAGTAGATTTCATTCTCAGATCGTGGGAGGATGCTACCCAAGCTAGTGTGGAAGATTAACATGGTAATATCTGTAACAAAACACCTACATGATGTACACAGGACCGTGTGACATCACCGCAGCATTGGTCTTGAGCAACCCAGCCTTGTAGGGAGAGAACTTCCAAACTTGGTTTACTTGGTGATCATGTCATTGCATCCCAGATGTGGATATCAATGCCGCCATCTTATTCACTGGATTGTTTTGTCCGGACTGGATTATTTACAAGTCACTGTCCTAGGGGGATTAATTCTGTATTCTGTGTTCAACTACAAACAAAAATGCCATTGTTTTTTTATGACTTGGGATGTTGTTCATGACATCAATCACGTTTGTGTGCTTTACACACACACAGGTCACTGTCATTGGCTGGAATATTGCTCAGTTATATACATCAACTAATAGATCACTACTTGTGATTTATTGCCAGACTTGATTTATTATCCCCACCATGAAGGGACAGGATATAGGTTATAGACAGGGAAACTCCATTTCAGGACATTCGAAAGCGGAAAATGTTAGAATTTGTTACAGAGTTATGGCCCTTGTTATGCCTTGTTGTTCCAATGGGAACAGATTTTCTCAGCAACTGCTATAGAAGGGAAAGCAAATTTGGTATGTGTTTTCAGGACATGAATGTCGTGGTGGAGTTTAAAAACAGGAACCGTGGGGGATATTGATGTGCAAGTCTTTTTGTTAACTTTACTTTCTACTTTCCAGCTTCTATGGGTCGAGGCGGCCGGGGTCGTGGGCGTGGACGAGGTGGACGTGGAAGAGGGAGAGGAGGGCCACCCCGAGGGAGACGTTGAGTGTGATGTGTATATCTGCCGGTGTAGATGTGGTTGTCATGCCACATGTGTTGTATATAGACTTGGAGGAGAAAGTGAGCGAGAGGATGAGTCTCTGGACCTTGTCACATGGATCAGTGAAGGACATCATAAATCAATCATGAGCATTGACTTTGATCATTTCTTTTATTTTCATCACTGACATTTTATGTACAAGAAAAAAAATAAAGTCTTTTATGTATGATATGAGTATATGTTTTGAAAGAATTGAAGGTGTTAACTGCACAAGAAGATGTATGGTGGTCTTGTTTAAACATCCATTCTCATCACAAGTGTTTTTTTATATCAGAAGAAGTAAATGAGTTTAGTTGTACGCCACTTTTAGCGATATTCCAACGATATCACGGAGGGGGACACCAGAAATGGGCTTCACACATTGTAGCCATGTGGGAAATCGAACCCAGACGTGACAGAATGTTTAACCAAAGTGGTCAACCCAGTGAGCAAGCTGATGGGTGAGGATTCATCTGTGGGGTGACTCAATGCCTTGTACATAAACATCATCTAAACATACATATAGTATAACCAGAAATTATTGAGAATTTTAAGAATATGTTAAATTGGATTTCTAGTATAAACAACCTTGACCAGCTATCAAGTGCTTGGTTTCATTCAAGAGAGACAACTCCGTTAATCCTTTTTCATTAGTTTGTGAAGATTTGATTTTAGAGTATTATAACAAGGACATCAGATCAGCTAAAGTGATTTCAAGTAGAACAGGCATCCCTTTGTCCACTGTTTATCGTGTTTTGAAAAATATTGCAAATGGATATGGCACTGAGCACCAGGGAGGCACAGGTAGGCCCAGAAAATTGACTGTCGGTGACAGGAGGCAGCTTGGTATTCTTGTTTCTAAAAACAAACGGCGGAGTTTAGAAAACTTAAGTCTGGATATGATTGATAGAGGAACTGTGGCTGTCTGTAAGGAGACAATTAGAACTGAGCTGCATGCAATGGGTTGGCAGAAAAGTCGAATTCCATCACCGATCATGAAACCTGAACAAAAGGAGCGAAGGTTGAACTGGTGCTTACAGCATAGAAATTTTAACTGGGACAATGTGATTTTCTCAGATGAAAGTTCTGTGTGGCTGGTTCCTAATACACTAAAATACTGGACCAAACAAACTGAAAAACCTTTGTATCAGCGCCCAAAGTACAGTCCGAGTGTAACGTGTGGGGTGGCATATCTGTGTTAGGGGCAACACCCCTCTGTATTTGAAGGGAATATGAACAGTGAGTGGTACACAGATATTCTCGAGGGACATTTACTTCCATCTGCTCACATGTCTTTGGAAATTTTTGGATTTTCAAGCAGGACAATGACCCAAAACATCGTTCAAAGCATTCACAGGCCTGGTTTCGGACCCAAAATATGACATTATTGGATTGGCCAAGCTATAGCCCTGACCTAAATCCAATAGAAAATGTTTGGGGACGTATGAAGGAAAGTGTCAATAAGAAACATCTGACAAATATTGCTGAAATGAAAGAAGAGGTGGTCCAATAGTGGGACAGCATGGACCACGACTTTCTAACTTCTTTGATCAGTAGTATGCCCCGCCGCATTGAAGCCTGCATTGCTGCCCATGGTGACTTGACAAAATACTAACTGTTCACCTGTCTTTGAATCTGGAGTTATGTTCTGCTAACATTCACATTTAATATGGGAGTAATGAGTGAAAAAAAATAAATTACAATCTTAAATTCTCAATAATTTCTGGTTGTACTGTATGATTTTATTGTTTGTTTATAACAGCATGTTACATTTTCTGTAGTGGGGTGATTCCCAGGAGCTTGATGCCATTAGAGAGTGTCTGGCGGCTGCAGCTAAACAGGGCGAGTCGTGCCTGCAATATATCAGGACAAATAGGTTAAAATTCATGGTTTTCTTCACAAGAATCAGACTGAGGTCTGTAGATTTACAGTCACAGCCTGACGCATAGTTTACAAGGGCACTTAAGTTGGGTTTAACATGTTAAATAGAATGGGAGACTTGTCATACACAAAACATTGAAAAACATAAGCCCCCTTTAAGGTTTGGCAACACACCACTAAAGAAGTTTAGCGTAAGTCATGCTATATGTATAGGAGAAACCACGACTACAAGGGTTTACTAGAGATTGTGAACCCTGAGAGGAGGGATGTTCTAGTTCTAGTTACTGAAAGATTTGTGCAATGATTAGTACAAGTCTGTAATGTGAGCACAAGATGCTGGTTTGTCGGATCTCGTGAAAGGACATTGTGTAATTGGGACCAGTTCTTCGTCCATGCAGAAATCTTGTGAATGTGATCCATTTTGCCTTGTTTCCTTTAAGAAGCCTCCAAATAACAGATTCTAGCAAGAGTGAAATAGAGCAATACTGTTAGTATTTTTCAGACATTGACACTGTTCCCACCTGTGCAGTGGCATCGTCTTGACCTTTGACTGGTAGGTGCTTGTACGCTGCGTTGATCATGTGCCTGAAGAATGCAAAGCAAGAACAGTTTGGCCTTCTGTCACAAAGCATGTTAATGCACTCCTACAAAGAACACAAATCCCAGTTCCAAGTTACCTATTTCAGTGAAACAATTAACATAGGAATGAAGCCAAATGGCAATGTAACATCTTTATTCAAACATATGGCTAGTTCATCTTGGCATAAAGGGATGTAACTCTGTACAGCCCAAGATTACAGGGAAAAATGTCTCTTTATGTGAATATAATATGCATAGTTGCCTTAGATTTTAGGTAGCTTTGTTGAACAATTACAGGGAACAGATTTCGCTTTCAGAGAAAATTATGAGCATGTTGCCTAAAATTTTATACAGCTTTGCAGTACAGTTATACACTGGGTGAACAAAAATATTTTAAGCTTCACTACCTACCCTAATCTGAAGAGGTGCTGGACAATATGGTACGGTTCAAGACTTAGGAGTGATTCTTGGACAACATCAGGATAACTGAAACATGCAGAACACAAATGTAACAAACAAATTACTTGTAACACAGAAATGGACCTTACACTAACCTTTGATATCGATTTCATTAATGTGTTGATCTTTAACAGGAATGACAATATTGAATAATGAATAATGTTTAACATTTTTCTATTTCTCTCTTTTCTCTTTCTACAAATATCAATTACAAATATCTCTGCATGTAAATCTGTAGGGAAGGGTGATCTAAGTTGTGATAACCTGCATCCAATGAGTGTGTGAAATGTTTCTAAATTTTGCTAGCCAGTCGGGCTGGCTATGCCAGAAAGTTACTAGCCCACAAGATAATTCACTAGCCTGAAATTTGAATGTAGAAACTAAGCTGAATATTACACAAAGGTAAGCTGCTAATATGACGAACATTTCTATCAGGCCATCATCTTGCACGATTTAAAAGTGTATTATAACTTAACAAGTTGGAGAGAGTGATATATTTACAAAATGACCCCATGAAAATGCACTAGCCAATCGGGCCAGTGACAGATTTACTGGCCTGACTGGATTTTTACTAGCCACAGGCTAGCGGGCCAATGGCTATTTTGCACATTGCTTCCAATCCTTTCGTGGGAATGAAATATGTTTAAACTAAAATATACAATCATAAATTCTGTAAATTTCAACACAAACAGTGCCAACTATGAAAAGCGGAAATCAGTTAAAGTGAGAGCTGTGGAACTGATGCACCTTCAGCAGTTGGGACAACCTGTTACTGACCTGGCTAGATGCAGGATGAGTCGACACGCAGCGTCTTCACTCAGCTGTTGACCATCACCGACATCAGCATCAACGTCACTGAACGATCTCTGTATGCTGACACACAAATTGAAACAAGGGTAAATATTGTAACACATGTTATATTTGGGATTACACTTTAAAAATACTGTACAGATTCTAGTACTCTTGTAAGGTTGAGTCCCATCTAGGATTTGAACCCACACTCAGAGTCAGGCACCTAATTGCCAGCATACACAGTCAGCCATCTAACACAGTCAGCCATCTAGCACAGTCAGCCATCTAGCACACTCAGCCATCTAGCACACTCAGCCATCTAGCAAGCCATCTAGCACAGTCAGCCATCTAACACAGTCAGCCATCTAGCACAGTCAGCCATCTTAGCGCACAGTCAGCCATCTAGCAGCACACCTCAGCCATCTAGCACACTCAGCCATCTAACACAGTCAGCCATCTAACACAGTCAGCCATCTAACACAGTCAGCCATCTAGCACACTCAGCCATCTATCACAGTCAGCCATCTAGCACACTCAGCCATCTAGCACAGTCAGCCATCTAGCACACTCAGCCACAGTCAGCCATCTAGCACACTCAGCCATCTAGCACACTCAGCCATCTAGCACACTCAGCCACAGTCAGCCATCTAGCACAGTCTGCCATCTAGCACACTCAGCCATCTAGCACACTCAGCCATCTAGCACAGTCAGCCATCTAGCACACTCAGCCATCTAGCACACTCAGCCATCTAGCACAGTCAGCCATCTAGCAAGCCATCTAGCACAGTCAGCCATCTAACACAGTCAGCCATCTAGCACAGTCAGCCATCTAGCACACTCAGCCATCTAGCACAGTCAGCCATCTAACACAGTCAGCCATCTAGCACAGTCAGCCATCTTAGCGCCTAACACAGTCAGCCATCTAGCACAGTCAGCCATCTAGCACACTCAGCCATCTAGCACAGTCAGCCATCTAGCACACAGTCAGCCATCTAGCACACTCAGCCATCTAGCACACCTCAGCCATCTAGCACACCTCAGCCATCTAGCACACTCCAGCCATCTAGCACAGTCAGCCATCTAGCACAGTCTGCCATCTAGCACACTCAGGCCATCTAGCACACTCAGCCATCTAGCACACTCAGCCATCTAGCACAGTCAGCCATCTAGCACAGTCAGCCATCTAGCACACTCAGCCATCTAGCACACTCAGCCATCTAGCACAGTCAGCCATCTAACACAGTCAGCCATCTAGCACAGTCAGCCATCTAGCACAGTCAGCCATCTAGCACAGTCAGCCATCTAGCACACTCAGCCATCTAGCACACTCAGCCATCTAGCAAGCCATCTAGCACAGTCAGCCATCTAACACAGTCAGCCATCTAGCACAGTCAGCCATCTAGCACACTCAGCCATCTAGCACACTCAGCCATCTAGCACACTCAGCCATCTAACACAGTCAGCCATCTAACACAGTCAGCCATCTAACACAGTCAGCCATCTAGCACACTCAGCCATCTAGCACAGTCAGCCATCTAGCACACTCAGCCATCTAGCACAGTCAGCCATCTAGCACACTCAGCCATCTAGCACAGTCAGCCATCTAGCACACTCAGCCATCTAGCACACTCAGCCATCTAGCACACTCAGCCACAGTCAGCCATCTAGCACAGTCTGCCATCTAGCACAGTCTGCCATCTAGCACACTCAGCCATCTAGCACACTCAGCCATCTAGCACAGTCAGCCATCTAACACACTCAGCCATCTAGCACACTTCAGCCATCTAGCAGCCATCTAGCACAGTCTAGCCATCTAACACAGTCAGCCATCTAGCACAGTCAGCCATCTAGCACCTCAGCCATCTAGCACATCTAGCACACAGTCAGCCATCTAACACAGTCAACCATAACACAGTCAGCACACTCAGCCATCTAGCACACTCAGCCATCCTAGCACAGTCAGCCATCTAGCACAGTCAGCCATCTAGCACACTCAGCCATCTAGCACACTCAGCCATCTAGCACACTCAGCCACAGTCAGCCATCTAGCACAGTCTGCCATCTAGCACAGTCTGCCATCTAGCACACTCAGCCATCTAGCACAGTCAGCCATCTAGCACAGTCAGCCATCTAGCACACTCAGCCATCTAGCACACTCAGCCATCTAGCACAGTCAGCCATCTAGCACAGTCAGCCATCTAGCACAGTCTGCCATCTAGCACACACTCAGCCATCTAGCACACTCAGCCATCTAGCACACTCAGCCATCTAGCACAGTCAGCCATCTAGCACACTCAGCCATCTAGCACAGTCTGCCATTGCGGCTTCCACAAAAATCGAAGTCTCACAATTGGTAGTCTGGACCACATACTTTTTGTTCCTCTCTGACACGTGTATTCGTATTTCCAATTGAAATGTCCAAACTCAGCTAAAGCAATTGTTTACATTGCAGAAATCATAAACGTTTCCATTCGACATGAGATTTCAGATCACAATAACAAGCTCTGTTTCAATCACATCACGGTGGAAGGTCACAATTGTTTCAAGAGAGCTTTAAGGGATAACGGAGAGGTTGGAATATCAGCCACCGCGACCTCCACAAAAATGGAAGTAGGACAACTGGGTGTGGGTTCCAATCCTGCATGGGACTCAGCCCCCCAAAAAGTACTAGAATTTGTACTTTACTAAGGAAGTGTAATCCCAAATATAACATATGTTACATTTGACCACTTTCTAAATGGCATTGTGTAATCATAGCTGTCGGCCGTGGGAGCCATGCCGATTTACACTTATCAGAGGGGTACACAAAGTCCGCAGTCTCCACTACCAGTTGTCCGACTTCCATATTAGTGGGAGTTGCGGTGGCTGAGCGGGTTAGGCGGCTGATTTTGTGTGCTGGCGATTTGGTACCAGACTCTGAGGGTGTGGGTTCGAATCCCGGATGGGACTCAACCCCTCCAAAAGTACTAGAATTTGTACTTTACTAAGGAAGTGTAATCCCAAATATAACATATGTTAGAGTAGAATTACTCTGCAGTGTTAAAAAAACATAAACTCCTGCATTCCATTGCAGAAAGACACTTGAGTTTGACTCAACCACAAGACTACCCTGTTGGGCTACAAAGCCATAAAGAAGCCATCTACAAAGCCATGTAGAAGCCATCTACAAAGCCATGAAGATTCCTTTGTTCACAGACCTGCACAATCTGGCATGGCAATATTGCAGAAAGACGCCCGAGTCCGACTTAAAGTTGAGCATGCGCTCCCAGCTGAACTTGTAGTTGCTGGTCCTTCTCTCCTTCAGGTCCTGGACGATGATGGAGGAGATCCCCAGAGCATCTGCGACCTGCTCCAAATCAATGTCCTCCCGAGTTGCTGGAACACACATGTAAGGAATATTGATGCTGAAACTTGAACAAATTATACGTGAAGATAGTTAGGACTAATTTTCCAATATTGTACCAATATTGTGGAAAGGTGAGGTGAATCTTGTTGTTAAGTCATGTTCAAGATTATTGCCCTTTAAGAGATTGCAATTAGCATGCAAGTGTAATCATCTTCTTGTGTCAGTCCTAATTAATGCTGGAATCATAGTGCCTGTCCATCAAGATAGCATGATACAGTTTAAAATGGATATCTATAAATGAGCCAGTAGTTTTCTCTGTCACTCACCAGGCAGGGTAACATCAAGTACAATCTTTTATTGCTTTTGGTATGACATGGCAAAGGTATCGAACCACTGATCTCCAGACTGACTCTACACCCACCTGACCAATGAAGTCAACTATTGTGGCAAGGAGAACATGAACATGGCACAGTGCCATTTGTCGTCTATACAACTCAACATTCTCTTAGGATGTTATGACATAAGCCAACAACAGCTTTTGGTGTACAATGGATATTCCTATCAAACTTTGGGTAGTGTTTTTCAGATTTGATCACATCAGATCCTTATACATCTAAGGGATGCAACTCTCATCAGTAAATTAGGATGCCTCATACAGCTTGAGTGAGTGAGTGAGCGAGTTTTACGCTGCTTTTAGCAATATTGCAGCAATATCACGGTGGGGGACACCAGAAATTTTGTATTATGCAGTAATGTAAATGAAATACACCTACAAATTCCTTTTAAATGACACCAAGACCATTGCCCGGAGTCACACACTCATATTGAGTGAATTGTCAACATAATTTTTCAGGGGTATAGTCTGGGATATAAACTGGGCTAGCCTATAGTTTACCCCGGGGTATAATCTGGTGGGGGGTTATTCTGGGCTGCTACACCGGGTCTTCGGCGTAACCAGCAGACGCTGTAACCACTAGGCTACCCCACCGCCCCCATGCAGCTTGAACATCATTTTATTGTACCTACTGTCTTTGTCCATCAGCGTTTGCCTCATCCGACCCTGTGCCTCATCTAGGAGGTCACGCAGGAACACGACCTCCCCACGACAAGTACTCATCCCTTCCACACGACCAAACGGGATATGGAAGTGTGGCTGCTGGCTCCAGTTGTGTCCCAGGAGGTCAAGGACACTCTGGAGCTGCAGGAAGTGGTTTCTCTGGCTGTGGTCCACCTGCAAGTCATGATCCAGTTAACTGATATTGATGGATCTGTTTTCAAGATGGATGCAATGATGAAAATGTTCATAAATGATTTTTATTAACCACTGTGAACTGTGATATTACTAATTCTCGGGAAAAAAATATTTTGTTGTAGTTTTTTAAAGGCAACATTTTTTCAGAATTTTGTGCCAGTAAAACTTGATAAAAAATATCTTGAACATCGTAAAACTTGGAACAGAATTGTGAAACCTAATTCGAGACTACCGTATTTTACCGTCTACCCCATGGATAAGACGACCCCCAAACTGCAAATAATACAATGCCCAGCAAAAACAACTTAGAACTTAAAAGGTAAATAATCTTGTCTAGTGATGTTTACTTGCAAATTTGACGTCTCTACTGACAAAGTCGTCTTCTGTTGTTTGTTCACGCGAAGTAATACGATGTTGTTTTCTTACCCCTGGAAAAAAGTTTGACGAAAGAGTAACCCATGGATAAGATGACCCCTTCTACAGACTGCTTTTTTTGGTCCTCAAAATTTGGCTTATAGACGGTAATATACGGTATGTTTAGATGTTTGAGTTCTGTGAATTGTGTTATTACTAATATTTGGGGAGAAATGAATTTTGTTGTTGTATTTTGGCAGGGTGTCATTACAGAATTTTGTGCCAGTAAAAAAGATCGAGCATCTTAAAACTTTGATCAGAACTGTGAAACCCATTTTGGGACTATGTTCAGATGTTTGATTTCTGAGCGAAAACAACACGGAATGTGGCAGACACAATGTACCTATCCATTTTATGGTGTTGCATGACTTACCACATAGTGCATCCTGTCAAACTTGTACTTGTTGAACCTGTCAACTGCCGCAGCTATATCCCTGTACACATTTAAGCATAGTTGACAGATCAGACAGATGATACCACAGCTGACATTGGATAGATGATATCACAGCTGACGTTGGATAGATGATATCACAGCTGACATTAGACATATGATATCACAGCTCACAAGAGGTCAATAATATCACAGTTGACATGAGACATATGATATCACAGTTGACATGAGTGAGTGAGTGAGTTTAGTTTTACGCCGCACTCAGCAATATTCCGGCGGTCTGTAAATAATCGGTTCTGGACCAGACAATCCAGGGATCAACAGCATGAACATCAATCTATGCAATTGGGAACCGATGACATGTGTCAACCAAGTCAGTGAGCCTGCCTACCCGATCCAGTTAGTCGCCTCTGACGACAAGCATGGGTTACTGAAGATCAATTCTAACCCAGATCTTCATGGGTACAGTTGACATGAGACACATGATATCACAGCTCGCAAGAGGTCAATAATATCACAGTTGACATGAGACACATATCACAGCTCGCAAGAGGTCAATAATATCACAGTTGACATGAGACACATGATATCACAGCTCGCAAGAGGTCAATAATATCACAGTTGACATGAGACACATGATATCACAGCTTGCAAGAGGTCAATAATATCACAGTTGACATGAGACACATGATATCACAGCTCGCAAGAGGTCAAAAATATCACAGTTGACATGAGACACATGATATCACAGCTCGCAAGAGGTCAATAATATCACAGTTGACATGAGACAGATGATATCACAGCTCGCAAGAGGTCAATAATATCACAGTTGACATGAGACACATGATATCACAGCTCGCAAGAGGTCAATAATATCACAGTTGACATGAGACACATGATACCACAGCAGGCATAAGAGGTCAATAATATCACAGTTGACATGAGACAGATGATATCACAGCTCGCACGAAGAGGTCAATAATATCACAGGTGACATGAGACACATGATATCACAGCTGGCATGAGAGGTCAATAATATCACAGTTGACATGAGGCACATGATATCACAGCTACGCAAGAGGTCAATAATATCACAGTTGACATGAGACACATGATATCACAGCTATAAATAAGAGGTCAATAATATCACAGTTGACATGAGACACATGATACCTACAGCTTGGCAAGAGGTCAATAATATCACAGTTGACATGAGACAGATGATATCATGGCAGTTCATAAAGAGGTCAGATAATATCACAGTTGACATGAAACACATGATATCAATGGCAGGCAAGAGGTCAATATATATCACAGTTGACATGAGACACATGATATCACAGCATCGATAATATAAGAGGTCAGAAAATATCACAGTTGACATGAGACACATGATATAACAGCTTCATAAATAAGAGGTCAATAATATCACAGTTGACATGAGACACATGATATCACAGCTAGCAAGAGGTCAATAATATCACAGTTGACATGAGACACATGATACCACAGCTCGCAAGAGGTCAATAATATCACAGTTGACATGAGACAGATGATATCACAGCTCGCAAGAGGTCAAAAATATCACAGTTGACATGAGACAGACGTTATCAGAGCTGACATGAGAATTGATATCACAGTTGACATGAGACAGAAATGGGCTTCACACATTGTGCCCATGTGGGAAATCAAACCCTGGTCTTCAGCATGACGAGCAAATGCTTTAACCACTAGGCTACCCCTCTAACACTTGACATGGGATAGATAATATCACAGCTGACATGAGACAGATGATATCACAGCTTGCAAGAGGCAGATAATATCACAGCTGATATTACAGTTGACATATAGATGACATTTCATAAAACAGACAGATGATATCACAGTTGACTTCAGACTGATGATATCAGACAGATGATATCACAGAAAAGAAGCTTAAGATAACAAAACTCAGAATGAGAAACAAGATATATATTTTGACCAACCAAACTGAATGTACATCATCTACAGACACAACATTTGGTCTGCGAGATGAAGAAACTCACTTACCTGGACAGATAGAGGCTGCTGCCATCACTCTTGACGAGTTTCACCTTCTCCATCTCCTCGTTCTTCGCTGTGGGTATATCCACATAGCCAACCCCAGAATCGCTGAAATAGTATCCAGTTGAATAATTTAACAGCAACTAACATCTGATATTTATTGTAAGTTAATCAAATCTGGAAAACCATTGGATGTATAATGAATAACGATTGCTTCTCAATTCTGAAATATTAATGAAGGACACTACTAATTATATTTGAGACCTCAACATATCCTGTTGAATCAGAAGACTAAACTGAAATTTTAGTCAGATAGACGTTTCAGTTAGTATGAAGAAGGGAAATGTGCCTTCATACTGCAAGAAGTTTCACTTCGTATTTCACTAAGATCAAACTAGGAGAGAGTGTAATGACTGGACTGGATGACTATTCTTAACATTGTGTCATTTAAATCCGACTGAAAACAAGGCCATGGTGACCTGATTCCAGTGTATATATATAATAACAGAATGAGATATTACTGATTGTATTACCAAGGAAGGGCATGTTATCAGTATTTCAGTGGGTACTTCTATCATCTAGTGAGGCACTTACTCTGTATGTAATGTGCCAGCATCAGTGAGACGATTCATCAGGGACTTGGTGGCCTCGTCGTACATGGACTCAGTGTGGGTTTCACTGAATCGTATCCCAAGCCTCTGTCAAGGTCAACAGAGAATTATCAGGGTCAAGTCCCGAAATTCTACCTTCATCCTGACACATTATGTATTCTATGAATGACCTAAGTGAGTTCAGAGATAATGGACCAAATATATGCGTCGTTTACATCACGTTTAGTTTGATTATATTTTAAGCCTTTGAGGAAGTGATATTCTTTGGAATAAGAAGGGAGATACCTCCATCATGGTTTAACATACAGACCACTAGAAAATAGGGTCAGAACATGGCTTTACAAAGGCAAATGTGGCAATGACCTGATATATCTTGTTGTATTCTGCCAGACTGATCTGTCGAAACTGCTTCCACATGTCGACCACATCTGCATCACCTGTAACACAGCGTACAACAACATAGTAATACTTCTCGCAATTCCTTTCACCTAGTGTATGCGTAAGCAATCTCCTTAATCTGTAGCAAGCATTAAGATCTTACTTTAGATTGAGATTGAGGCTCCTGACGCTACATTATTAATCCTCACTGCTAATTATATACTGCTCAAAAGAAGTTAAGAACATCCGACACTTTGATATAGAAAATCTGTCATGACACCTGGCTCTAGTTTATATGTATCAATTCCTCATTTTTTGATGTGACGATACCTGTCGGATTAACCTTAGTCATATAAGAAATCAGGTGTTCTTTAATTCTTTTTGTGCATTATATTTTCACTTAATCATATCGAATTTGTTTCAAAATAGTGTAACAATCTGCCCGAAATCGTAACAGACTCTATCACTGTAAGATATAATGAGACTCTGAAAGTGCATAATGAAATATGGAGAGGTGTATCACCTGTCTCTAGGCGAGAGAATGTTTCCAGGGCCTCTCCATATGTGACTCTCTGACCCTTCGCTGCCTCTGTTTGAACATCATTGATTTATCTGGACGTATACCTGAAATAAACACACAGACTTCCTGTAATAGTCTAAATATATTTACTCTCTTTGTTGTTTAAAATGTTGCACTCTGCAATATTCCAGCTGTGTGGAGCTTAATAGTGCAGTGGTAAGGCGTTTGCCTATCACGCTGAAGGCCCGGGTTTGATGCCCGGTGGAGGCACCTAGGTTTGGGTCCCGAGGTGGACACATTTGCGTAGTATCCTTGGACAAGATTCTTAGATCCACATTGTCTCAGTTCACCCAGCTGTAAAATGGGTACCCGTGAGGATGTGCTGGCAATGTGAGTGTTTAGTTCATTGTGCCTAACAGGCAGCATGGCTGTATGCTCCCCAGGGAGTTGAAAGAATATCGGAAAGTATGATTGTGTCGTATGACCGGGGATAGTAATGTACGTAGCACTGTGAGCAGGCAATGTGCCTGAATATGAGCCCCATATAAGCGGACTATTACTATTACTTTTTTACTATGGCGGCGGTCTATAAATAATTGAATCTGGACCAGACATCAGAGGGATTAACAGGCTAAACATCGATCTATGAAATAGGGATACAATGACAGGCATCAACCAAATCAGCAAGCCTCATCCTATTAGAAGCCTATTATGACGAGCATGGGTTGCTGAAGACCATTTCTAACATCATAGGCCTCTTTCACCTGGATATGATCCCGTCAACAGTTGTGCTGAAAGGTTCATTGTCAGCACTGGTACTACAGATATGTACCCCAGGTATACAGAAATGTACCCTAAACAAACTCAAAATACAGAAACGTACCCGGTACCCTACATAGCGGACGAGCCCATATTCCGCAACACCCCCCCAAAATACTGCATTTAGTAGCTCCGGTTCAATTGTTTGAGAGGGGTCTTGTGCAGCATGAAATATTCGTTACTGTGCATGCTCATTTCTTATATAACGCAAACATATCTAATCTAATACAACAGTATGACAGTTACCATCAAGAAAACGACACACTGAGGAATGGAATCGTCCTAGGGTACGTTTCTGTATTATGATTTTGGCTAGGGTACATTTCTGTATACAGAAACGTACCTGGGGTACACATCTGTAGTACCTGTGCTGACAACGACCCCTTCAATAACAGCTGTGTGCCATCCCTTATAAAACAATTACATCACCCTCTTTGTAAATGACTGTCACTGGTGTTTCAGCAACAGCATTAACATTGTATGTGAGTGAGTGAGTTTAGTTTTACGCCGCACTCAGCAATATTCGAGCTATATGGTGGCGGTCTGTAAATAATCGAGTCTGGACCAGACAATCGAGTGATCAACATCAAGAACATCGATCTGAGCAATTGGGAACCGATGACATCTGTCAACCAAGTCAGCGAGCCTGACCACCCGATCCCGTTAGTCGCCTCTTACGATAAGCATAGTCGCCTTCTGTGACAAGCATGGGTTGCCGAAGACCTATTCTACCCCGGATCTTAACGGGTCTAACATTGTATGTGCCGAACACAAACTCTCACCTCAAACAAATGAAGCAAGGGGTCAACCGACAACTTGTGCGTATCTCCGTATCTATGGTAACCAGTCAACAATAGGCCTGTCAGAAGAAATCAACAGATATGTTTTGAGGAGTATTTGCTTTATTGGTGTATAAAACATAAAAACCAGAACACCAACATCCATAACAGCAAAAATAAGTGACAATCAATTTGTATAAATAATTTAGTCAACATCAGAAACTTCACAAATTGTTCATTTTATAAATTAATCAAATGTACCTTATCTTTATGATAATGATGATTTTTATAGAGAAGAATGTACAATGAATGTCCCCCAATTTATGTTCAAAGTAAGAGAACAACCCCCACCCCGCATGTCATGTACAAAATGAATGACCCTCCACACCCTTCCTGTAATTTTTAAACATACTTTTAAAATATTTTTATGTACAAAATTGCTGACCCCCACTAGTTTATGTGTACCAACTAGATGACCCCCCTACCTCACCAGAACAAAATTGGTGACAGCTCCCTTAAAATCATCTTCACCTCCCCCAGCCATGACTTAATAATGGTACCTTACTTATTGTTTTTTAGGCATTTGTATCCTACTTGTGGACATTTGACAGTTATCATTCCTTAGATTACCATTCAAGGACATATGATTGGTTGCCATAGTTACCAAACTGAGTTCCCCAGTCCCCGAGGTAGTTGAGGCGTGTGACCTTGTGACCTACAGCTTCAAACAGGTTGGAGACAAAGTTTCCTATAATGGTGGACCTCAGATGTCCTGTGTGGAACGGCTTTGCTATGTTGGGTGAACTGAAAATACACAACACTTGACCACCAAAATAGAAGAGCAATAGTCATACAGTAGAGTACAAGAATTTGCTTTACTCACAGCAAATGTGGAGAATCAAACCCAGGACAGTCATGAACAAAGAGCAAACACTTAAACTACTGGGCTACCCAACTTTCATAATTATCAAATGGCGAGATCTCAAAGATTTTATCAATATTCAAGCAATATCACAGCGGGGGACATCAGAAATGGGCTTCACACATTGTACCCATGTGGGGAATCGCAAAGATTTAATGTCCTCTGCAGTTGCTAAAAACTTTTAAAACAATAGTGGATTCCAGTATGTAAAACGAAAGGCAAAATACACAAAAGCTACTGAAAGAAACACTTCAATGTGTGATGATCTGAGTTCTTCAACGAGACTCACCTGTACTCAACAACCACATGCTGTCCTGAGATTGAGCTGTGACCATCATCAGGTTTGTAACCAAACAGCTCTTTCTGATGCTGAATTGTCCTGAGGATGTGCTGAAACATTGGCCAGCAAGTCTTTGATACCCAGGTCAAGATTATCTCGTAAAGATGCTGTCTGTAGGAGTGTTTTGATATGATTCGGAGGTGGAATAGATATGATTTCTATGTGGTGGTATGTTAGTGAATACATCATACTCTGCAGCAGTGATGACTTAGTATTAATGCTACAATATAATTTACATATCACATGACCAGACATTTAATTGGCCTTGAAAAAGAGTGAGAAAAATTAAATCTGAAATCAGAACAGCCCGGCCTAACAATTATATGCCACAATAATTATATGTACAGTCAGGCCGCGTTAATCCGAACACTTCCGTTTTTCATCAAAAACGTTTGGGTAGTGAAACATATGGACTACTGAAACTAACCATTATGCACCACTACAGTAGAGTTACTTCCCTTTGACTTACCGAGACAAGAACATAAGAATGTATACATGTATCAAATGATGTATTACAGTTTGTATACATAACAACTCCGATATTAATATAACAACATCTCCAACACGCTCGAAATAGTTTATCATTGAGTCTATATAAGCTCTCATTTGGTTGACAGTAGGGGAAATGAACTTTCATGTTGGTCAATTTGACATTGGCATACCTGTGACAGGCAGGGTTGTCACAAAGTAAGATCATGTGTCGTGTCGACCACATGATCGCATCTGTCTGTCAAAAGATCTCAGCCAATCACAAAACATGTCTGATGTCATCCACTCTTTGTTTTTTAACCGATAGTGAACATAAATTTCTGGGTTAAATCCTATTCCAAAACATCTGGGACGTCTGGATTTGGCGATGACAAACGGCTTAATTTTGATGGTGCCAATTGAGACCTATTAATTGATTTAAATCACAAACTAACAACATATTCAACTCAGACTGACTGACTGAGTTTTGGTTTTACGCCGCTTTTAGCAATATTCCAGCAACATCACGGTGGGGGACACCAGAAATGGGCTTCACACATTGTACCCATGTGGGGATTCGAACCCGGGTCTTCGGCATGACGAGACAACGCTTTAACCACTAGGCTACCCCACCGCCCCTGTTCAACTCAGAAGTGTCACCTCACTTACCAATTACCATTGAAGTTTACCGATGAAGATCAGCGCTAATCAATGGTGCTCACGAGGTAAGGGGATTATCCGAACTTTTTTCATGTACCGCCGGATTAATGAAGCAAAACTAAGTGTAATTAGTGTAATCCGTTACTGCTAATTAATGTCCGGATCCGGTGAGTGATCAATGAATCAACAGTTAATGAGTTTACATAGTAAACATGATTTGTTACAGCTAGCTACAGTTCTGATATCGCGGGAATCGGATTATCGGGGTTGGAACTAACGCGGCCTGACTGTATATGCCACTATAATTGCCACATCGAGGATTATGACAATGTATCTTTACCCATCAAAGAGACTGTATTGCTAAAAGTGACAGCATCACCAGATCTCCACTGGGCTTTCATGTGTGCACACGGAGCCACAAAACCAATTCAAACTTAAATATGCAAATGGAAATAGTCGAAATTCTTATATATATTTTTCAAATTTTTCCATTCTTATGGCCCCTTGATCTGTAAACCAAGCTAAAAGTAAAAGACTAATGTAAAGTCTGTTGCAGAAAACAAAATGACTATACTGTGACCAGTGACTAATACATTCTCTCTCTGATGCTGTTTACCTGGTTAAACTTATGATTCTTGACTTTGATGTACAAGTTTCTCCTGTCTGCCGTCACGGCTTCAATGTCTGTGTGTGCATCCTGTAATCAAAACATGGATGAAAACTAGGGCAAACCTCAGTATAAACGTATTAAAGATATTTTCTTTGGCAAGGTTTCTTTAATTTCATAATTGTTTGATAAAAAATATGCTCCAGAAATTACCTTAAAAAGTTATTATGTCATGAAGACCTAATACAACAACAACACTGTCATTTTCCTTTAATCCCTACATTAAATTCTCTATTACAGCACGATTTGACTCACCCTATGTAGTTCTGCTTTAATGCTCTCTGCATCCAGCTGACTTCCACTGTCACCTGCCCTGACTGACACCTGCAGCTGGGGATCACTACGCCTGCACAACACAGTAAAATTCGACCACATGTACAACACAGTAGGATCATTACACCTGCAGCTGGGGATCACTACTCCTGTATAACATAGTAAGATCAGTACACCTGCATGACATGGGAAAGTAAGATCAGTGCACCTGCAGCTTGGGATCACTACTGTACACCTTCACAACATAGAAAGCAAGAACAGTATACCTGCAGCTAGGGATGAACTGTTGTATATATATATTTCAAAATACGTATCTTAGAAGGTGGTTTTCAAAGGTATAAAAAAGGCTTAAGATGACAACCTTTAATACTAAACAGAAGATTATAAGGATTATCTTAATCGTAGTACATGGCTGTGAGGCTGCCTTGTGTCAATTGTTGTCACACCTTGTCAACTGTGAGGATGATCATATATATTTCAACATTTTATATAAGCTCTCTCAAACCATGCAGACTAGGTACCGATATTTCTTGGTAGCATGAGACAGCTTGATGATTTGACGGGCATCTCTCAGCAGGTCAGCTTGTCCGGCACCTTTGTTGTTGAGGGTCTGGGCAATCTGATATCACAACATGATCAACAAATGAGACACTCTTCTGACCATAATTATAATGCCTAAAATAACCCGTATTATTTCATTAATAAGTGGCTTTTTGGACGTTTGAATCCCTTCTGAACTTAGTTTTTTCACCTGACCGAAGACATTTCCTGCATCTGCCTCCACATCAAATTATTGTGTTTCATGCTTCACCTGGACAAGGTCCTCTATCTGAAAGTTTGTCTTTGAAAGTGTACAAACCTATATGCCTCGGGGTAGACAGAGTTGGTGGAATAGTGTTGTTTTATGCCACAGTTAACAGCATATATTACATAATAAAGACTGGATTCGTTGTCAGCTTATGATGACACGTTATGAGCTATATTACTGAATCAGACCGGCATGTCCTTTGCTGGGAGGGCGGTGGGGTAGCCTAGTGGTTAAAGCGTTGGCTCGTCACGCCGAAGACCTGGGTTCGAATCCCCACATAGGTACAATGTGTGAAGCCCATTTCTGGTGTACCCCGCCGTGATATTGCTGGAATATTGCTAAAAGTGGCGTAAAACCAAACTCAGTCAGTCAGTCCTTTGCTGGGATCGAATGGGTCGGTACAATGAATCATTATCCACCCGTTGTAGCTTTGGTAGATTGGAAAACAGCTCATTTACCTTTTTAATGACATAGTTCCGATAGTACGCGGCCATATCTGCTATGTTATAAGAACATAAAGCTCGTTACGGTTGCCAGACACTGGTTTCACCGAATCATGTCCATGTACGAAATGTCACATTGAGAATCATGGAAGCTGACATATTGGTTAACGGGAGATAACTCATACTAACAAGTCATTCGCATACCGCAACACAGGAAGTTTGGTTTTACGCCGCTTTTAGCAATGAACATCACGGCAGGGGTAAAACGCATGTGTCGAACCCTCTTCGGCGTGACGAAACGCTTTAACCACTGCTACCCAAGAAACAGGAAATATGAAAGTAAAACGCATGTGTCCTGTTCAAAATGGAAAAGAGGAAAGTATCGTGTATATACAAAGACGAGTTATTGACAAATCGGGAGCCCCAGCGACACCATTAAAAAAATGTTTCTTGCATTTGTCTCTGCCTATGGCCTCGATCATTACAAAGTTAACGACACAAATAAAAAACACCACCACAAATTGGGAGACGCTGGATTGGAACCCACGACAATACTTTTCACTAGTGCAAAGCGAATTTTGTTGGCTTGGATGGCCTTACAAATATGAAGATCTCATATTTGGCAGCATATTATTAGAGCTTGACAGTTTTCATATGTTGTACAACCCTACTTCTGTACGTGTTTGTTTCTTATTATAACATAGAAGCAGAGATTGAAGACTATCGATCACTAAATAAGTATTGGACAGCATTTCCAACACATGTTTAACAGGCCCATTATTTCCATAAAAATGTAGTAGAATAAATACACGGCTAACTTATACTTTAATTCTTCTGTTTAATGTTGAATAAGTTCAGAGGTGAAACATAGTTATAGACTAGATTCTATGTAATTGCGTTATATTGAATAAAAACTCCTAACACCCTAATCCGCGAAACATATTGTTTAGCGGGTACCCTCAGAGTTCGATGTATAAGAGTAGCCTCCCTTTGATTGTAAGCTCTGCGGATAGTTATCGCTGTGATGAGCTTAAAACCTTCCTTGACCTTGAACTCCGAAAATGGCATTGCAAGCGCTTCGTTGTCGTACCGTCTCTAACATCATCGGCAAACATGCCGGGGCTGCTGCTACACTGGCACGTTCAAGGTATGATTGCAGTTTTGCATATGCTATCGCAAACATATATCTATATGGGATATCAATCAGTATCTAATTCAAAATTACCTAATAGTGTACGTGATCATGCATCAAGACCATGCTCTCGCAAGTTCACCTTCGTAATCTTCTAGTATCCAAGATTGTCCTTGAAGTCGTGTCAAACTTTGTTGATAATAATTTGTTATCTTATGTCTAAAGGAGTAATGCGTTGTATTATTATCGATTCAAGCAACATCACTCAGCTTTTAGATACAAAACATGTTTGCTGCCATCACACACAGACTGAAACGTCAAAAACTTCAGCGAATCAAATCGAATGCTGTTTATATTGTGAACTGAACATATGGGTAAAATGCAAGCCTGAATGGTGATCATTGTGACTGAAGCTCTTTTGACTGAGTAAGTGGTGGTATTGCACGAGTTCCAAAGACTATATACACTGTCAGTTAAACCTTTCAAGCATGACCGCCTCCGTGGTGTAGTGGTTAGAGCGTCAGCCCAGAGAGCGGAAGGTCGCAGGTTCGATCCCCGACCGCGCCATACCAAAAGACGTTAAAATATTGTACTTGTTGGTCCCTGCCTGGCGCTCGGCATTAATAGGTACAACAAGGACTGGTCGGCTCGGAGTCAGTATAATGTGTCTGAGTGGGGTATTCATGCTTCACTGCGGCATGGTACATGTATCTCAGTGCGCTAGCACTATAAAACCAGCTTCAGTCTGGGCTAGTACAAGCAGCCGCACATACACATACACATGTATGCACGTCGTCATATGAGCGAAATATTCTGAAGCATGACGTTAAAACCCAATTTCACCTCACCTCACCTTTCAAACATGACCATTACGACATAAAGATAGGCAAATGGGTAGCAGAGCTTTTCAAGAATCAAATAACCCATTGTCAGTGTAAGAACAATTGATCATAATATAAACTGTAGGAAAAACAAGGTGCTTTTTGTTATGAATTTGACCCTTGAAGATCCGGGTTAGAATTGGTCTTGAGCAACCCATTGCACCTGCTGCTGTATTCAAAGTTAGTTCTAAAATGTGAAGAGTTTTAATGCAAGAAATAACATTAGAGGTGACCATAAAACACTTTTCTTTTTTCACTTTAAACTCACAGTGAATAGCTGGAAAATTGTGCTGGTGCAGTGTAGAGCAACATTCATTCATTTTCACTTTAAAGTTAAATCATTTTACACACAAAATGCTTCTGAAAGTTTTCTGGTGCTAGTAATATTGGTTACTTGGGTTACCTCCCTTACCTTGTAATGACAGGTATTTATACTTGTCTTACCTTCATGTAAAATACTTTAATTTCAATTGTCAAAGACGCTTTAACAAGTTTCCGTGTCACCACCAAACTCTCTGCTGAGAAGCAGTATCGCTAACAATTGTATGATGTTATAATATAACTCATGTGAATCACAGAGTTCGAAAACCGTTCGATTAGCTGTTTTTAAGTTCACTTTGTACAGATTTATTTTACCGACTTTCACTGCTTTATTTAAACTATTTTCTGCATTGCACCATTTAAACACTAAACTTAAACATAATTAACTACTTTTATAGCAGTTTTTAGCTTTTCAGAATGTTTCACTGATATTAACATGATTAAAAATCCAGTCGAGAGGCAGACGCCATTTTGTTTACGTGTCCTATAGTCGGTAGCGAGCTTATCGATCTTCAAAATAAAATAAAATGATATTTTGTACATTTAACATGGCAGTAAGATAAATACCTTGTAAACTTCTCCCTTGGGTAATACGGTCTGATGTACGCACCTTAGTAGCAGTGTCATCCCTTGCCTACCAGCTACCAATGATCAACAGCATGTGCATCAATCTACACAAGTGGGATACGATGACATGTGTCAACCACTCTGCGAGCCTGACCACCCGATCCCGTTAGTTGCATTCTATGACAAACATGGGTTACTGAAGACCAATTCTTAGCCAGATCTTCATGGGTCCTGATATTGTGAAAGCTATGTACATGTTAAACACTAGTCACTGTCTTGCAGCTCTTGGTGGTCCAATGTTGAAATGGGACCCCCAGATGCTATTCTTGGAGTTACCGAGGCTTTCAAGCGGGACACGAACCCCAAGAAGATGAACCTTGGTGTGGGTGCATACAGAGACGACAACGGCAAACCTTTCGTGTTGCCATCAGTTACTAAGGTGAGAAGATTATCATTGATCCTGCATGAGATGGATTTTCTAATCAGACAGACACCGTTTTGGCTTCTAAAGTCTATCTCTTATCTAATTTTCAAAACTTCAAAATGAAAATGAACCTAACTGGGGATTTCTGAATGCAGAAATGATGGCTGACATCAGTAGCACAATTTTCTTTCGATTAGAATGGATGGTCAAAGTCTTTCTTTGTTGACATTGTCAGATGTCCACCTTGAGGTATTTTATTAGAGTTAAAGTTCTTAAATTCATGAGATTCTATTCTTCTGGAAACCCCTTGTACATTTTTTACAGGTCTATCTTAGAAGTTAAAACTGAAATGGTGTACATCATTGTGTTTCCCTTAAATGACAACTTTACTGTCTTCATGTAAATGAATGTTTTGTGTGTACATGTAAGCTCACCAATACATACAGAATAACATTGACATATGTAACAAAATATTGCTTGTTGTCCCCCGCCGCAACGCGGAACGGGGGGGACTATGTATTCAGCAGCGTCTGTCCGTACGTCCCAATTCTTGTTAACGCGATGTCTCATGAATTGTTGTACCCAATGTCTTCAAATTTGGTGACAGCCTACATTGGGGGATTACGCAGACACCAGTCGATTTGGGTGACCTTGACCTTTTTTTTAAGGTCACCACGACACTTTGACCACTTTTCCAACTCTTGTTACCACAATATCTCATGAACAGTTGTACTCAATGTCTTCAAATCTAGTGGCAGCCTACATTAGGGGATTACGCAGACACCAGTGTATTTTGGTGACCTTGACCTTATTTTTCAAGTTCACACTTTTCAAACTCTTGTTAATACAATATCTCATGAACAGTTGTACTCAATGTCTTCAAATTTAGTGACAGCCTACATTAGGGGGATTACGCAGACACCAGTGTATTTTGGTCACCTTGACCTTATTTTTCAAGGTCACACTTTTAAAACTTGTTAACGCGAAATCTCATGGACTGTTGTACCCAATGTTTTCAAATTTGGTGACAGCCTACACTTGGGGATTACGCAGACAACTGTCGATATTGGTGACCTTGACCTTATCTTCAAGGTCACCACACCACTTTGACCACTTTTTAAACCCTTGTTGTGCGATATCTCATGAACTGTTGTACCCAATGTTTTCAAATTTGGTGACAGCCTACATTTGGCGATTATAGAGACACCAGTCGATTTTGGTGACCTTGACCTCATTTTCAAGGTCACCATGCCACTTTGACCACTTTTCAAACTCTTGTTAACGCAATATGTCATCAAACATTGTACCCAATGTCTTCAATTATGTTGACAGCCTACATTGGGTGATTATACAGACACCAGTCATTTCAGTCATCTTTTATCTGACAAAAATATAAATAGTAGTAAATATGTTATAAATATTTCGTTCTTCTTGTGTTAATTGTATTCATTGTTTGTAATGATTGTTTTCAGGCAGAGCAGCAGATGCTTGCAGCCAAACAGGACAAGGAATACTTGCCCATCTCTGGTCTCGCAGACTTCTGTAAAGCTTCAGCTGCTCTGGCTTTCGGGGATGATTGCCAGGCCCTGAAAGACAATCTGGTATGTTCCGGTGATGAATGTTCCGCTGGTGTATGTTCTGCAGGTGTATGACCTGGTGGTGTATGTATGTTCTGCTGCTGTATGTACTAGTGGTCTATGTTCCGTTGTATGTTCTCTTTAATGTTCGCTGCTGTATCATCTGGTGCTGTATGTTCACTGGTGTATGTTCCTGCTGGTCGTTCTGGTTCTGGTGAGTGTATGTTCTGGTGCTGTATGTTCTGGTGCTGTATGTTCACTGGTGGTGTATGTTCCACTGGTGTATGTTCCACTGGTGTGTATGTCCACTGGTGTATGTTCTGGTGCTGTATGTATGTTCTGGTGCTGTGTATGTTCTGGTGCTGTGTATGTTCTGGTGCTGTATGTTCTGGTGGTTCTGGTGGTGTATGTTCCACTGGTGTATGTTCCTGTATGTTCTGGTGGTGTATGTTCCACTGGTGTATGTTCCACTGGTGTATGTTCTGGTGGTGTATGTTCTGGTGGTGTATGTTGTATGTTCCACTGGTGTATGTTCTGGTGTATGTTGCTGTATGTTCTGGTGGTGTATGTTCTGGGTGTATGTTCTGGTGCTGTATGTTCCACTGGTGTATGTTCTGGTGGTGTATGTTCCACTGGTGTCCACTGCTGTATGTTGTTGGTGGTGTATGTTCCACTGCTGTATGTGGTGGTGTATGTTCTGGGCTGTATGTTCCACTGGTGTATGTTCTGTATGTTCTGGTGGTGTATGTTCCTGTATGTTCTGGTGGTGTATGTTCTGGTGTATGTTCCACTGGTGTATGTTCTGGTGGTGTATGTTCTGGTGCTGTATGTTCCACTGGTGTATGTTCTGGTGCTGTATGTTCTGGTGCTGTATGTTCCACTGGTGTATGTATGTGGTCTGGTGCTGTATGTTCCACTGGTGTATGTTCTGGTGGTGTATGTTCTGGTGCTGTATGTTCGGTGGTGTATGTTCTGGTGTATGTTCTGGTGGTGTATGTTCTGGTTGGTGTATGTTCTGGTGGTGTATGTTCTGCTGTATGTTCTAGTGTGTATGTTCTGGTGCTGTATGTTCATCGGTGCTGTATGTTGGTGTATGTTCTGGTGGTGTATGTTCATGTTGGTGTATGTTCTGGTTCTGTATGTTCTGGTGCTGTATGTTCTGTATGTTCCTGGTTCTGGTGCTGTATGTTCTGGTGGTGTATGTTCTGGTGGTGTATGTTCTGGTGCTGTATGTTCTGGTGCTGTATGTTCTGGTGGTGTATGTTCTGGTGCTGTATGTTCTGGTGCTGTGTATGTTCTGGTGCTGTATGTTCTGGTGCTGTATGTTCTGGTGTTCTGTATGTTTCTGGTGTATGTTCTGGTGCTGGTTCCACTGGTGTATGTTCCACTGGGTATGTTCTGTATGTTCTGGTGCTGTATGTTCTGGTGCTGTATGTTCTGGTGGTGTATGTTCTGGTGGTGTATGTGTATTCTGGTGCTGCTGTATGTTCTGGTGCTGTATGTTCTGGTGCTGTATGTGCTGTATGTTCTGGTGGTGTATGTTCTGGTGTGTTCTGTATGTTCCACTGGTGTATGTGTATGTTCTGGTGCTGTATGTTCTGGTGCTGTTCCACTGGTGTATGTTCTGGTGCTGTATGGTGCTGTATGTTCTGGTGCTGTATGTTCTGGTGCTGTATGTTCTGGTGTTCTGGTGCTGTATGTTCTGGTGCTGTATGTTCTGGTGCTGTATGTTCTGGTGGTGTATGTTCTGGTGCTGTATGTTCCACTGGTGTATGTTCTGGTGCTGTATGTTGGTGTATGTTCTGGTGCTGTATGTTCCACTGGTGTATGTTCTGGTGCTGTATGTTCCACTGGTGTATGTTCTGGTGCTGTATGTTCTGGTGCTGTATGTTTCTGGTGCTGTATGTTCTGGTGCTGTATGTTCTGGTGCTGTATGTTCTGGTGTGCTGTATGTTCTGGTGGTGTATGTTCTGGTGCTGTATGTTCCATGTTCTGGTGTATGTTCCACTGCTGTATGTTCTGGTGCTGTATGTTCTGGTGGTGTATGTTCTGGTGCTGTATGTTCTGGTGGTGTATGTTCTGTATGTTCCACTGCTGTATGTTCTGGTGGTGGTGCTGTATGTTCTGGTGGTGTATGTTCTGGTGCTGTATGTTCTGGTGGTGTATGTTCCACTGCTGTATGTTCTGGTGCTGTATGTTCCACTGCTGTATGTTCTGGTGCTGTATGTTCTGGTGGTGTATGTTCTGGTGCTGTATGTTCTGGTGGTGTTCTGTTCTGGTGCTGTATGTTCTGGTGCTGTATGTTCCTGGTGGTGTATGTTCTGGTGGTGTATGTTCTGGTGGTGTATGTTCCACTGGTGTATATGTGTATGTTCTGGTGCTGTATGTTCCACTGCTGTATGTTCCATGTATGTTGGTGCTGTATGTTCCACTGCTGTATGTATGTTCTGGTGGTGTATGTTCTGTGGTGTATGTTCCACTGGTGTATGTTCCTGGTGCTGTATGTTCCACTGGTGTATGTTCCACTGGTGTATGTTCTGGTGCTGTATGTTCCACTGCTGCTGTATGTTCTGGTGCTGTATGTTCTGGCTGCTGTATGTTCTGCTGCTGTATGTTCTGGTGGTGTATGTTCCACTGGTGTATGTTGGTGTATGTTCACTGCTGTATGCTGCTGTATGTTCTGCTGTGGTGTTATGCTGTTCCACTGCTGTATGTTCTGGTGCTGTATATGTTCTGGTGGTGTATGTTCCACTGCTGTATGTTCCACTGCTGTATGTTCTGGTGCTGTATGTTCCACTGCTGTATGTGGTGTATGTTCTATGTGGTGTATGTTCTGGTGGTGTATGATGGTTCCACCTGTATGTTCTGGTGCTGTATGATCCACTGGTGTATGTTTTGATGGTGTGTGTTCCTCTGGTGTATGTTCTGATGGTGTATTTTCCGCTGGTGTATGTATTGTTGTTACATGTTATGTTGTTGTATGTTCTTGATAGGATTTGGTCCAAACAATCCACTCGGGTCAAAGCTCCTAAAATGTCACTAAAATAAAGAAATGAATTGGCATTGTAGTCAATAAAAGAATTTGTATAATCACCTTTTCTTTTTCAGAATGTTACTGCTCAGGGTATTTCTGGTACAGGCTCTCTTCGTATCGGAGCAGCGTTCTTCGTGAGTAAAATATTATCATAAAAGGGGGGAATTATGGATGTCAACTTTTTGGCGTCTGTTCTTACTCGTTTATCGATCTGGCCCCGATTTCTCGAAACAAACTTAAGTCTGAGTTTTGACTTAAGTTCGAGTTTTCACTCAAATAGAGAAAATGCATTAGCAGAATGAACTGAAACTGATATTAAACTCAAACATACTAAACAATTTGAGTTTGGTGGATGGATTACTTAATTTGTTTGGGCTTTTTTATTTTAAAAATGCAGTTGAGTTAAAAATTCAGCTGTTTCAAATTGTCAAACTCAGTTTGAAATTTGAGTAAAAACTTTAAGTTTGTTTCGAGAAATCGGGGCCTGATGAAGGAGTAAGATTATCTCGGTAGACTCGGTACTCGGTAAAAACGTTCTGTTCCTCATATCACAGTAGTTGAAATATTCCCTCTTTATGTGTGTCTTTTCTAAATGCCATTCAAACAGTTTAAACCTGTGAAGATGCGTGTTGGAATTGATCTTCTGTAACCCATGCTTGTCGTAAGAGGCGACTAACGGGATCAGGTGGTCAGGCTCACTCACTCATTCACTCACTCTTGCAGTCACCCTTTCACTCACTTACTCTCGCACTCACCCACTCACTCTTCTTGGACTCACTCACTCACTCACTCTCGCACTCACCCACTCCAGTGTTCACGAATAGCGTCTGACCCTCTGACAAATCCGGCAGATTTGCCAACAGTCCGATAAAACTCTACAACCCGCCGGCCCCAGTGTCTGACTGTATATTTCACAATGACTTTGACTGAAGTTGTTATATGGGACATGTGACACCTGTTTGCTGTTTATAAATCTTATGTTTGTTTATTATTTCAGTGCCAATTATAAGAAATGCTAAATCTGAAATGTGTGTTTAATTTTATTCTATGGGTCCTGTGAATTTTCAATGGGTCAGACAGACATCTGAAACTTACAGGACACAATGTCCAGTTCCTTTGAAACATGATTCGTGAACACTGCCGCTCTTCTCGCACTCACTCACTCACTCTGGCACTCACTCACTCACTCGTCGGTATGATGCTTGTATTCCAGGCCAAGTGGTTCTCAACCAGCAAAGTATTCTACATCCCGTCTCCATCTTGGGGGAACCACACACCAATCTTCAAGTGAGTGGTCTTCTTTGTTGTGCCAGTCATGTTTGGCTTGGCAATAACAAATGTTCATCTCAAATATGGTTAATTTGTGATGCTGAATTGTTGTTACCTGTGATCAGACCTCTGTTGTGTATTTGTTGTGTAAGGTGTTGTGTGGTTAGTAGCTTTACTGAAGTACTGTATGTTATAACTGGTGTAAGAATATTATCCATTGGTGAGATGGATACTGAGTCTTGTTACCATGGTTACATGTTGTGAGGTCCTAGCTATCACGAAACTCATTACAATACAACAGACATTGTGAAATATGGGGTTTATTGTACAATTCCTCATGTTGAATTCTAACTGAGACCGTAGCACAAATATTGATTCTGATGGCATTAATGTTTCCATTGAAATGCAGCGTGACATGATTTGTTTTTTCACATTTTACTCTAGGTATTTTTTCTGCATAGAGTTGTGTTTTGTTATGAATATTATTTTGAAAGTGGCTTGAGTTCATTCTTTATGGGGGCATGGGGTAGCCTAGTGGTTAAAGCGTTGGCTCGCCATGTCGAGATAGGTTGAATCCCCATATGGGTACAATGTGTGAAGCCCATTTCTGGTGACCCCGCCGTGATGATGTTGCTGGAATATTGCTAAAAGCCATAAAACCAAACTCAGTCAGTCAGTCAGTCATTCTTTATGTGGCCATCCACACCTGAAATAAGATTTGAGTGTGACCAACATACAATGTTTGGTATAATTGTGTTTTACAGACACGCTGGTCTTGAAGTGAAGTCTTATCGGTATTACGACCCAAGCACCTGTGGTTTCGACTTCAGCGGAGCGTGTGAGGATATCTCTGTGAGTAATTACCTGATTGTGTAGTGGATAATTTTCACTGCTTCATAGTAAATATTCATTGACATTAATAGTGCTTTATGTTGACTCTCCGGTGTTCATTTGAGAAATGAAAGACAGTAATGATGTAAGATCAGAATTGTTACTAAAGTCTCCGCTGAATGTTTTTCTCTTTTAACCAGCAATTTAATTTTGGCATCTTTGTGAGTAGATTTTGGTGTTTTTGACGTATAGAATATTATCACATTGTGTATCAACTCAACTTACAAAACAGAGATATTATATCAAACTTGTCACCCCATGCCAATTTAGGTTTACAGAGCAGAGCAGATTCTAGCACATAATCATGATAATAACTATTGTACGAGTTATACTGGGGCTCAGTTAGGCTCTGTGATTGTATCGTTTGTTTGTCATGTTGTTAGCCATTAGTAAGTCTCACAGTCCCTGAACTGCATTATTTTCCCTTCTGCCTTTCCCATTCTGCAATGATAAAGCCCTAAATAAAGCAAGTCTAGATTTCTCAAATAAAGCAAGTTGTGATTTCCTCACTTCTGTCTGGGGCTACTTTTCAATTTTAAAGGAATCGATTGTGTCTATCAAAATTGTAATTTGTTCAGAGACAAAGCGTTACTCTAGCCACTGGTTTGCTTAGTCAAGAATCAAGCATTTACAGGCTGTTTTGATAAGGCAGAATTATTGCTAGCATACAATGACTTGACTTTACCTTCAGTGGCTGAAATGACAGACTGTTTACTCTGTTGTTGATCACCCGTGAAGATCCGGGTTAGAATTGATCTTCAGTAACCCATGCTTGTCATAAGAGGCGACTAACAGAATCGGGTGGTTAGGCTTGCTGACTTGGTTGACACATGTCATTGAATCCCAATTGGGTAGATCGATGCTCATACTGTTGATCACTGGATTGTCTGGGCCAGACTTGATTATCGTATCCCAATTGCGTAGATTGTTACTCGTGCTGTTGATCACTGGATTGTCTGGGCCAGACTTGATTATCGTATCTCAGTTGCGTTGATCGATGCTCATGCTGTTGATCACTGGATTGTCTGGGCCAGACTTGATTATTTACAGACTGACGCCATATAGCTTGAATATTGCTGAGTGTGGCGTAAAACTAAACTCACTCACTCACTGTTTTTGATCTTTGATGTCATGTTTACAGAATATTCCTGAGGGGTCAACCATCGTCCTGCACGCCTGCGCACATAACCCCACTGGTGTTGACCCAACCGTGAGTATTTGGCTGGACTACTCTACTCTTCCCTGAGATCCCCACATGGGTACAATGTGTGAAGCCCATTTCTGTTGTCCCCCGCCGTGATATTGCTGGAATATTGCTAAAAGCGGCGCAAAACCATACTCACTCACTCACTCACTCATTTCCCTGAGATATCATCTTGTCATGCACCGCTTTAGAAAAAGTGCGAAATGTCTATACACCAACCTACAAATATTAATCTTGCTATTTTCTTCTCTTGTGCAGTCATTGAGCCAACTTACCTAAAAGACCTCATACCACAGGACTAAAACTTGAGTATAGACAAACTTTATGGATAACAACTTTGTTTCATGAGTGCGACATTTCGATACAAATTCTTGTACTGGTGTCAAGCAGGAAGGACATTCAAGAATCTGTATCGAAAAGTCGCACTTACAAAATAAAGAAGTTGTTATCCATAAAGTTTCCCTATATTGTACTTCCCAACTTCTAAAATGCCAATCAAAGAAGTTAAATGCTGAGTTCTGAAAATGTTTTGTATGTTCGTACTGGATCCAGCTGAGAAAATTCTGTAAACCAGAAAAAAAGTGTGGCTTGAAAAGAGTGGTTTGCTAATACTTTGTTACTGCTGATCCAACTTAGCCAAACAGTGTCATATCAGATGATAAAAGCAAAATGTTGAGCCACACAAGTGTTTTGTTTGTTTCAACAAACATGGTTATTGGTTGGGAAGATTCTGTTACCTATACAGTCATGCCCCATTTATCCGAACCTCAGATATCCGGAAAACTTGCCTCCCGAACAAAAATTCCTTAAAACGAATTCACAACATTGTAAAATTACTCACTTATCTGAAAATTCGGTTTCTGTAACCGCACAGTCATTTTCACATACAAAACGCTAAATTATATGCATTTTTTCTCGTATATCCGGATGGCTGAGCACTTGTCAGTATGTTTACACATGTATTTACTGAGTGGCCTTGTTTGCCCTAACATAAAAGAAGTCGGCAGTCTTTGAAGCGTGAGAGGATGAACTACCTGTAATCAGCAAGGTGACACTGTATGCATTGTTATTTGTTGATGTCTTGTCAATAAAGATTACGGCTGAGGCCTGTTATCTTTGTTTCTTTGTATGTCTTTTTACATATGGTCCTGGGTTCAGATATCCGAAGAGGCGGTGGGGTAGCCTAATGGTTAAAGCGTTGGCTCGTCATGCCGAAGACCCGGGTTCGAATCCCCACATGGGTACAATGTGTGAAGCCCATTTCTGGTGTCCCCCGCCGTGATGTTGCTGGAATATTGCTAAAAGCGGCGTAAAACCATACTCAGTCAGTCAGTCAGTTACCCGAAAATTCGTTTATCCAGACAATTTCAAGAAAACACAAGTGTCCGGATAAACGGGGCACGACTGTAAATCTAACAAATGTTAATTCCTAATATATTGTTGTCCCCTCACAGCCTGAGCAATGGAGAGAGCTGAGTCAGCTTATTAAGAAGAAGAAGCTGTTCCCGTTCTTTGACATGGCCTACCAGGGCTTCGCTAGTGGTGACACCGTCAAAGATGCCTACGCTCCTCGATACTTCCTCCAAGATGGCCACCAGGTCTCTCTAGCACAGTCCTTTGCTAAAAACATGGGCTTATATGGTGGGTAATATCTCTGTTGGAGTTGATTTCATAACCCCTTCGTTAAAGAGCTTAAGTGCTTATGAGAACAGAATACAATGCGAATATTCATATACAGATTATGCTAATTCATTGATGTTTGATAGATTTAATTGAGTGTTTCTCAAATCAATCTGCGGCAGGAGAGTTACTCAGTTTCTCATGGTTGACAGACCTGTGAAGATCTTGATTAGAATTTGTCTTAAAAGTTTGTTTTTTTATATTTCCATGGCAACAACTTTCACTTACAAGGAAAATGGTTGTTGTGCTTTCAGGAGCAGATCTTGAAAACAGTGTTTATCATCTTGTTTCATATAAATAACATTTACATTGAGATCTCAAGGTTTGGCACAAGTTCACAAGTAGCTGCCAGTCGTCAATCTGTCACTCAATATGTTGCTGTGTACAGAGCTGGGTCATTGAGTTATGTACTCGCTTGTGGTCATCTCAATTGGGTATACTAATTTACCTTTGAGTAACCAAATAAATTGTACCCACCTCACTCAAACTCAATTGGGTATTTTGTCATTTTCCATTAATTGTAAAAATATAATAAAGTTTAAATGTTAGTGTTTGTTATTTATATTTGATGTGTAATATGAGAAACCATAAGAAAGACTGCAAGTTGCCAAGTTCATGTCCTGAAACAGAACCTCTCAATATACCTCTATCCACGCAAGCTAAGATTTGACATTTTTGTGTGTACGCATGTAAGATCACATCTATTGAGTATTTACAAAACAAAAATTCAATAGACTTAATAGAGAATTTAGTTTTCACATAAATATTTGCATAATTTACGAAGATACGCAATAGACTTAATAGGAATTTAGTTTTCACATAAATATTTGCATAATTTACGAAGATATGCAGCTTATCTGTACCTCTGTGTGTACTTCTGCAGGGGAGCGTGCCGGGGCCTTCACCATCATGTGTCAGGACGCAGACGAGGCCAGCCGTGTCATGTCGCAGCTGAAGATCATCATCCGACCCATGTATTCCAACCCTCCCATCCACGGTGCCCGTATTGTGTCCACCATCCTCAACAACCCCGACCTCAGGAAGGAATGGTAAAGGAGCTCTAGTTTCTTTGAAGATGTGTTGCTGTACCCATCATTCAATAATATCCAAGCATCTTCCTTGTCGTAAGCGAGAATAAGTCTCGGTACCTCCTATGCCATGAACTAGTGGTCTAGGGCACTGAGTCGGTGTCCTCATCCTTATCCGGGGCGGTCGGGTAGCCTAGTGGTTAAAGCGTTCACTCGTCACACCAAAGGCCCGGATTCGATTCCCCACATGGGTACAATGTGTGAAACCCATTTGTGGTGTCCCCTGCCATGATATTGCTTGAATATTGCTAAAAGCGGCATAAAACTACACTCACTCACTCACTCACTCAGAATAAGTCTCATTACCTCCGGCTTCTCAATACAAAACTCAGGACCTTCTTTTCAAAATGAAGCCTCAGTTGTTCATTCTTCTGAAAAAGTCAGAAAAAGGTCCCTGTAACCTGTAACCCATTCTCTTCCCACAGAGGTTACTCCTGTCATATCTTCCTACGTAACCTCTGTTCTAATACGGCCCTTTCATGGTGTGAGCGTTCAAGACTCGTGATTGGAGGCAATCAGATTTAGTTGTGCAATCAGCGACATTGTTTCAAAAGTGATCATTCGCAAGGCCTCGGTAATTTCCGTATGCTTCGAGAAAACTAAACCTCTTCCCCTGCGCGATGCGCAAACGTTTCTTCGAGACAGAACTCAGTCATGTTATGGCAGATCAGTGGCGTCTCCATCGCCCTCGTTGACAAGACGGACTAGCCATTAAAAGCCATGTGTAACATCAACCCCGGCAGATGGGGAAATTTGTGGCCCCACATTTGCTTGTGTTAGTCAAGTTGAATCTAAGTCGATGTAACACGTGTTCTGATTGGATAGAAAGAAGGGAGATCATTCGTGTTGCGATCTTTTGCCGCTAGGGGATTTTACGAGAACCTGGAAATATGGCCGTATTAAAACAGAGGTTCGTAGGAAGATATGACAAGTAACCTCTGTGGGAAGAGAATGCCTGTAACCCTGTACAGTAGGATGTTCTGTAATGCATATCAGCTCAATATATTTCATTCATTCATTCACCACACCATGATTTCAGTACTTAACACAAGAATCTAAAAGGCTTTCTTTTATATGTAAAGTTGAAAATTGTGTATCATGCTTTTATTGTTTGAAAGTCTGTGCTCCTTTGTTTAACATCAGCAGTGTTTAAAACTCCCAAAATTCCAAGCCAGACAGCCGGACTGGTAACTTTAAATAATTACCAGTCCGGATACAAACTTGCCTGTCGGTTTTCAACAATGAAAACAAAATCAGGTTTCTGAATACTTTACTGTTTGCAAGCATCGCAATGAACAACATAGCACTAACAGGCAATGCACCGAGTTTAGGTAAACTGAAAGTACATATGTTGTGATTGGTTATTGTAAAATGAACTGTCCAATCGTAAATAGTTTAACATAATTATCATAATACCTTAAACACCTCAAACTGACGACAAGAGAACCTGTTTGATATTATGAAATATTTACTGTTAGTGGTAAAAACATCTACCAGACCACCGAACAGGCTACTTTTGAAATTTGACCGTCCGAGATGAAAATAGACCGTTCCGGACGGTCGGGCAGGTGGGAATTTTAAACGCTGACATCAGTAGATTGTTTTATATTTAAACTATATGTGTTTGAAATAGTGGTGTTCCGATTAATTGAAATAATCGAAGATTGATCGCAGTGACCAAACGACCAAGCAATCGATCACATTTTCTCATAATTACGAACATAAACGATTTTGGAACTACTGTTTTAGTCTTTGAAATACTTGACAATGGAACATATCGTTGAAGTTGTCAGGGCATGAAAGCGTGTTTAATTCATAGAAAACTCACTTCACTAACTGAAAAGCCATGACCGAATATTTCTTGAAGACTCCAGGAAGTTTATGTTCATGATATATTAGTCATCACTTTAAAGTAGCAAGTTGCATCATGTTATAAATATCTGCAATAACAACCTGGATAGGAAAATCTGAAAAATGACGCTAACCAATTTTTTTCGATGATTGTTCGTTGGTAATGAAGCAATCATCAATTGTGAGATTTCAACCAATTCTCAACACTAGTTTGAAGTCATCCATGTTGCATTTTGCCATTTTATGGTGGCAGTGAAGAAAATCTGTATTCCCTCCTCAGCTGATCATGTTTGGTGGTGTTTATTGGATCTCTTGATGTTAAGGAACCGTTCATAATTTATGGCTAGAGGGGTGATGATGATTTTTATGGAGAGGCATGTACAATGTAAATGATCCCCCTAAAATGTAAGAGACCTCCCCCCTGCGTGTCATGTTCAAAATCAATAACACCCCCCTTCCCATAATAATTAAGCATGATTTTTTTAAATAAATTTGTGTACAAAATTGCTGACCCCCTTTAGTACATGTGTACAAAATTGATGCCCCCAAAAAAAAAAAAAAAAAAAAAAAAAAAAAAAAATAAAAAAAAAAAATAAATAAAAAAATTAAATGATAAAAAAAAAAATTAAATAAATAAAACCCCCTTAAAAACCCCATCATTCCCCTAGCCCCAAAACCGTTCAAATGTTGTACTTCAGGTGAACGGAGAGAATCTCAAATCATGTCTTGACAGTTTTAACTGTTTGGTGTCTTGTTCCCAGGTTAGTGGATGTCAAAGGGATGGCCGACCGCATCATCAGCATGAGGACGAAGCTTTCTGAAGGTCTGAAGAGAGAAGGGTCTACTCGCAGCTGGCAACACATCACAGACCAGATCGGGATGTTCTGCTTCACAGGACTCAAGCCAGACCAGGTGCGTCAACATTCTTTTTGTCGGATTCTTATCCATTTAGATTCTGTTATATATTTACAGTTTGGAAACCCAGTTGTCTTAGGTGCTAGAACTGTACACAGGGCTCAAGATAAATTTTCAACATCAGGAGTATGTACTCCTTACTTTTTCAATGCAGGAGTACTGGAAAACCTTAAGAGTACATTTAGAGTACTTAATGGAATTTAATGGAGTATCAGTAATCTTGTGTTTCGTAACTTTCATATATGCACAACAACATTGCTACTCTTGTGTAAACAGGTCAATAAACAATAAAACAATAATTTTTCAGATAAATACGTCTGTAAATGATTCTAAGACCGTACACCATTGCTGTGGTGCGTATCTGCTACGTTTTCTAACTTATTTCCTACCGTATCATGCACATTTTATATCTACATACGCGGATACGGACCTTATCTGGAGCCCTGTTTACAGAGTTGCTGCCCTTGGCTGGGCTAGGATTTGATGATTTGGGGCATCATTTCATGATTCCTGAACATGTTCAGCTTACACACTGTGATTTATCTCAATCTCTCAGTCCCTCCAGAGCAATAATCCACTCACACCTCACAATCTTCTTTCCCTGTTGCAGGTTGAGAGATTAACCAAGGACTTTTCCGTGTACCTCACCAAGGACGGCAGGATCTCCATGGCCGGCGTAACGTCTGGCAACGTCGACTACTTAGCCCATGCCATCCATGAAGTTACCAAGTAGATGGAGAGAACCCGAAATAATCGTCTCTGTCTTTCAAGCTGTACACTGGAGCATTTCCCTAACCACACTGTAGTGTCAGTACTTTGTGAATAGGTTGTCAAGGGTATACAAGGGTGTCTGGACAATTTGTCTTGTAAATATGTGGAGTGCTACATACAAAAAGTGATACAGATGTTCCATATTTTTATGACTACAGATCAATCTCTTTGCAACCAAAAATATAATTATTAGTGCTGCAGTCTAAGCAAACTTAGGCTCAGTATTATTCATTACACTGCTATACTGACTCTAACAAAACCTAGTAGAAGGTCGCGTCAGTTAACCTTTGAGCGACCTATGACCGTCCAATCAAACGTAAGACAGCCGAAAGGATTTAACCAATCAGACAACGACTACTTGTTAGGGTTTGGCGGGGACTTACAAAACAGTTTTTGGATTTTCTCTTCCCTGGTCGCTGACACTCCGCATAAAACACAGATATTTGACCTGCAGTATATACGCTTATGGGTTTCTAATGACATGGTTACTATTTGCTTATATTTTCGCAAGATGACATCCTTGAATATTGACAAAAACGCTATTTTCAGCGACTGTTTACTCATTGCGTGTATCACTCGGAAGCGATCGTGCAGAAAATAGCATTTGGAATCATATCAGCTTTTTAGGTAAATGTTCAAACGGTATGTGCGAATGTTAACTTTCGCGATTTGGTAAGGATCTGATTTGTCAGTCCGAAAGGTTAGCTGACACGACCTTCTACTAGGTTTTGTTAGACTCAGTATAGCAGTGTAACGAATAATACTGAGCCTAAGTTTACTTAGACTGATTAGTGCTGGTTATTGCTCACAATATGCTGATTGATAATCGGAGATCAGTAATCGATCAATAATCGGAGATCAGTAATCGATCAATAATCGATTGTAATTCTAAACCCCACAACAGAACTCCTGTGGACTACAACAGGACACTATCATAATATTGGGAAACGAAACAGGCACTGATTCAGGCAACGATCAAGACAATCGAGGATGCTTCCTGTTGAGACACACATATGTTGTTTACATTGCAGTTTTATACATCAGGAAACTTAATCAGTTGTTTATGTCTTAACTTCACAAACATAAAAATAAGAAACATACTTTCTGATGTTTAAATTGATGTTTCATCTTTCATGAATATCTATTAGTCAAATGAGCTCATCGATAATCGCTGACACAAGATCGATAGATTGACCGATTATTGAATCAATTGTTCCAGCACTAGTAATCATACTTAAATTCAGCTGATGTCGTGGGCAGATTTGTAATAGCATACAATGGCTTTTAGTACCTGTCTTTTGTTTTACAAGAGCTTTCATGCATTTAATTGTCATTTACAGATGATCTATATCCCAAACGCAAATCAGTGGACTTGTGTTCTCTGAATTGTGGGCAATGAGAGGTCTGTCTGTCTGTAACCAGTTCTCCCTAGCTATTGCATTAAAATTAGATCTTAATCTCTCTGCATTATGATCTGAACCAGTTAGTGAACCCTGATTAAACTCTGTCCAGTCAAAATGCAGATTCATGGGTTCTGGAGCCAAAGAAACGGTGCTTCCTTCTGGATGCAGGTACCAGGATGCCAGAAACGACAAGTGTAATATATGGTATCTACTACTTTATTATACAACAGCTTTTTTTTATCTCCATTTGGAACTTGTTGTTTTAGTTCATTTTTGAGATTCAGAAATGAGATATCCCGGTCTGGATGATTTGCTGACATACAATGCAAATTTAGGAACCACGACACTGATTGACAGATCAGAAAGTTCACTTGGTGTAGTGTCCTGTGGAAATGTTCTCCAATCTTCATGCAGGGAGGTGTTGTGTCTGATTTTAAATACATTGCAATCCGTTCGGTCCTGTCTATGGTATTCAGGAACTTTTACTAGATTCCTCTATTGCTAATTTCATATATCTAGATGTACAAGTTTATCCTTGTGTTAAAGTGCAGCTTAACTTTGTCATGTTTAAGTACTAGCTATTTGTCTCATGGTCATTATTTGATGAGACCTTGAATTATTGTGTATTTATGCATACAGTAATCGGTCTTTGGTAATATTTTATTTGTTAACCCACTTTTGGGTGTGCTGTTTGTTTTTGGATGGTTTTGGTGCAGCAAAATATATAGAGTCAGACTAATTTTATCTTGTTTTATAGATTCCCTCATCACCAAAATATCACTGGGTTGTATACCCTATGTTATTCCGTACCTGTGAATACCTACACGTTGACCTGTGTTCTGTGTTTGCCCAGTGAATGGATGAGCAAATAAAGTAATTGAATGCCTTAAAACTTCCACTGCATATCTATGTCCTGTTTACAGACGGTGCCAGGTGGGGTAGCCTAGTGGTGAAAGTGTTCACTAGTCTTGCTGAAGACCTGGGTTCAATTCTCCACATGTGTACAATGTGTGAAGCTGATTTCTGGTGTCCCCCACTGTGATGTTTCTGGAATATTGCTAATAGAGGAATAAAATATTATTCACTTATTCACTCAGAACAGTCATTGCATGTCACATGTAAATTGTTGATTGTAGAGTTTCTAAGTGGAAACATGTGATCAAAACATAGTTTCTCTTATACAGGCAAGACATAACATATGCTTACAGTTACTTGATTCTGCATTGTGTCAAGCTGAACTGTAGTTGATGGACACTGGAATATCTGCTGACCAAAATTTTCGGACCTGACAATCATCTTAAAAATAAGATCCTTCTAGAGAGCGACATTTGACTGGTGAATATGTTAGTTCAGTCAGGCCATGTTTTACTAATTTACTGTTTTAAAACGTGAATGAGACCTGGTCTGTGCTTGAATTTTGTGCAAACCTCACCATTGCTGAATCACGAATTGATGATGGAGGAAATTTTTGCAAGGCACATGTTACACAAGAAATAATGCCCTGTGTGTGATGTAACCTGAATGCTCATTGGTCAGAGCACTCGTTAGTTTCTGTGCTGCAGAAAACAGAGAGGAGATTCATTCATTGGTTAAAAATAGCAACTACCCTGAAAATGTCCTGTATGTATTCTCTGGTAATGGAAGTGTATATGAACCTTCGTTGTTGATGATGTATGACTTGTTTTCAAATAGATGAATTAAAATTTAATGATTTTTATGTTGTTTAGAATTTTGGTCTGTGAAAACAATTGGCGAAAGGAAGGAATATTGTTTTGCCTTGAAAGTATGTGAATCGTTTATTTAGTAAATTATTGAGTTTGTTGGTTCAAAACAAACCAGGAAACAAAAGGTGAATGAATACTCAGATATGCTTTGATAGGATTTTTACTAATGTAGCATTTTTCTATCTAATTTGGAAGACTTTAAAATAATTAGTTTGATAGATTTAGCGTATTGACAGTGTTTATTCTACAATTGCTCAGCGAGATTAAAAGAGTTATGTCTGCCCTGTGAAAATCTTAGTGGTCACTGTTGACAAATAGCCAGTATATCATGTTGACCATTGACAAATAAAATGAGGAATATTTGTAAATATGTGATTGTGAATTTTTATTTTTGCTCATATGTCTCAAGAACGATGTCCAGGGTTTGCGCAGGCTGGAAATGGCCTGACATTTGGACAATTTACCCTAAAAAGGCCTTAAATTCGTTTCAGCCTTGAAAGGACCCTGTAATCTCTATATATTGTTCGTGAATCGCCCTTTCCTGATTTATTTCAAAACCACACCCTCCAGTAAAAGAGCATTTTTAAAATAAAATATCTACATATATGTACAAATAGATGATGGTAGATCTTCATTAATTATGATGTACAGTGTTTTGTTGATAGAAATGAGAAGAGAGTGTTTTGTTGATAGAAATGAGAAGAATCCAATTAATGTAAAACGTAGTAGTAAATCACACAGGTATATATTTAAATACTTTTTGTTAAATTGTTGTTCATTGGAAATACATGAAACCTGTAAAAACATTTCAGTTGCTACTGACATTAGATCTCCTCAGACCGAACTGTCCAATTATATTGGACTTAAAGACGTCACTGATGTTACCCTCATGTTTAAGACAAATGGTGCCATGATTTACCATGTATCTGTTGCACTGACTGGCAATGGTATTCATGTTGACTAACATCTCGTCTCTGAAATGAACATATGTTACAGAAAAATTGGTTCCCAAACTAGATTTATAATATAATTAGAACGGCACCGAGAGACTTTTCTTCACTTCAGTCGGAAACTGTGGTAATAAAGGTTTTGTCATATATTCTAGACTTTCAAGAGCAGTATTGGGTGTTGGTTAAAGTAGTCATGTAAAGCTAGTGAAATGCCACCTACAATAAGAAGTCAGTCGCGGAAAGTCGCGGGTTTGATCCCCGGCCGCGTCATACCAAAACACGTTAAATATGGTACTTGTTGGTCCCTGCCTGGCGCTCGGCATTAATCTGTACAACAACGACTGGTCGGCTCGGAGTCCGTATAATGTGTCTGAGTGGGGTATTCATGCTTAACTGCGGCGTGGTATCTCAGTGAACTAGCACTATAAAACCAGCTTAAGTCTGGGCTAGTACAACCAGCCACACATACACACGCATGCACGTCATCATATGAGCGAAGTATTCTTAAGTACGACCTTAAACCCCATTTCACCTCGCCTATAAACGCTACGTCTCGTAGCTGACAAGTTACTGAAACGGTAATAAAATATCCTTACACAAACTGCCTCAAACCATTTGACCAACCGTATTTTATGTTTTTTCATCTCCCTGAAAAAAAACAACAAAAGAATAAAAACGAAATACACCCCTCTACCCCCATGAAATATGTGGACAAGGTGTTCTGGGATCAAGGTAGATGGACAACATAAAGAATTTTCTGGATTTTCTGGTACAGAAATATGCGGTCATGATAAAACGTGATAAAACGCCATGCGTTATTTCGTTCAGTTAGCCCACATCTGAGCTGGTCTGCTCGAGTTGACGTCATCTTGTCAATATTATGAATCTCTCCGATGACGGTGCGTATTTACATCCAGGAATGGCAAGGGTTAATATATAACAAACAGAACCCTTTTCACATCCAAATTCATATTCTATACTATATCGTATGAATAAATCTACAAAATCCCTAAAACCAAACAAAAACACGGCAATGACGGTGGTAGAGAATTGGCCCAGCTCTTTTTGGTTGAACGATAACCAAATATAATAAAAATTACCTTT